TACGTAGGTCTATGAATCAGCAGCAGTCTTGCTGAGTTACAGGTGTACGAACAGCAGGTTAACATGAATTAAATTTTTTTTTAAACATAAATATTGACAAAAGCATGCTCTCTGAACTGATGAGAAACTACAGAAAAACTTGAAAAGTGAAAGACAACAGTGATGGAAGGAAAAAAAAGGATTTCTTCATTTATTTTTCCTGTTTCACATTTTATTAAACTCACCTCCAGGTCATACTGTATTATATTCTGTTTGTGAGGCAGAGTATTCAAGTTGGTACACCTGCCACCAAACCAAATACCAAACCATGGAAAGAAGCAACAAATATCTTTTTAAAGGGTCTGAGTTATTTTAGTTTGGAAACACAAAGAACTCCTCTTATAATACTTAAATAAGGGAATGATTTTTTAAACTAACAGGTGTAATTATGTTGTGAAATTCTCTCTCCATGTTTTTTCATTAGTTGGAAACAAATTATAAATATGGCTCATTGCCATGTGTCCGAAAACAGATCACCTTACAAGAATGTACCAGTGGCCATTATTAGAAGAAAGCAACAAGAAGCCAAATAGCACTCAACTTTACCATGCGCAAAGTCTTCTTGGTATTAGAATTTAATCTCACTCCTCTTGCTTCAAATTCATGACAAATGGCATTAGTTTACATTTGCACACAGTTGTATCATAGTGCATATGCAGACGGGGGCTGAATTAAGGCTGCATGGGCAATGTTCATACTGGCATTTCCTAACTTGGGCACGTTCGACTTTGTAACCTTTTAATTCTTAACTTTGTATTTCCTAAATATGGTTTAGTTTGAAAATAACCATAACTAATATTAAAGTTTTTTTTTTGTTTGGGAATTTAAATTGGGACTGAAGCAAGAATTATATGACTATTCAGATCAAGCCTCAAAAGTGGAATATTACAACGAGTGGCGACTACATATATCGATACATTTTCTAATGTCTTGTAAACCTGATAAAATGCAAGAGGTTTATCCAGCTTTATTTCAGAACAGGCTATTTACTTTTATAGTCTCAGTAGAATGTGGACTAGATCCATTGAATGTCAAACAATCTTTGTGTAACTGTAGAGAATCCAAACTTCATGTTACTTTTTTGTAAACTCTACCAATTTAATATGCAATTTCTTCATTCAGTTAATAAAATAATTTTACTGGTTAACACAGAGTTATATTAAATGGTTCTCATATTGTGTACAAGATAAATTGGCCCCCATCTGCACATCCCATAAATATTTGTAAACACATTTCTGACATTATCATATGGTTAAATAATGGAATTCTCTGATGCCTGTTTAATACACCTTAAATATTTTGCATGGTGATAGAGGCTGTGAAAAAAATCCTGAAAATGTACATCCTCCTCACCCCAGTAACCTCCAGTAGATATTGCAGATTTTCAGTGAAGCACCAGTATTTCCATAGGTCATGCTTAGTATTAACATGTAACCATTTAGGGCAGGACTATTGGCTCAGTGGGAGCAGGGTTAGACCAATGCTGATAGATACGAAGGGTAAGATTTGCAAAAGCTAAGTGAGCTTTCATTAGCTATAGCTAGGCTTGGAGGAATTAATTTTTTTAATATATGACTTCAACGGATAATATTGATGTTTATTTTTAAGGTTACCCCCCCTCTTTTTTATTACCAATTTAAATAATTTTCACAATTGCACAAAATCACAGCTTTTAAGCATTCCCTCCCCCCCCCCCCCCAATTTTTATTTATTTAAATTTTCAAAGTTGTGGGAAATTATTGTGGGGAGATCAGACAACAGGGCTGATCAGAGAGTAATGGTGATGCTGGTCCCCTTGAATTTGAGGACAACATGACAATCATAGTTTGTACTAACGAGTCTTCACACAACTCCACAGACCAAATTAGAATGTTGAAGGGTGCGTGAGAATTTGTTTAAAGTGGATGAGCACCAACTTGCACACTCTCTTGGTCAACAAGACCATTTCCAGTAGCAAGGTAAACCAACAAATTGAAGGACTTGCTGGCTGCAGCTTTATTTTCAGAGTAATGGTCTCTTAGGCCAATTACCCAGGCTAACAAGCGTGGTCCACCCAGCCAGAGCTCCATTAGTCCGGGTGTTTCGGAATGAATCCCTGTAAGCCTTCCTGGCTACCATAGCATCCCAGAGAACAAAGCTCACCACCATACTTTGCCCTACAGCGCAATCTCCTACTGGCCCCATTTCCACCATCCCACCAAGGGGAGGAGGAGGGGTCAGACTCAGAGGAGGCAGGTGAGACAATTATTTCATGTCAGTAGACACCGATTTCAAAAACAGTTTTTATCACCATTAAAAATCAAACTGTCAACATCGCATGTCAAAACATACAAAGTAAATACCCTTAAATCAAACTCTAGTTAAAGTTGTCAAGCAACGTTTTTCTTACTTGGCCTAGCTTGGTCTTACTTGGGCCGTCCATGTGCACAGTGAAATCGACGTTTATTGACTGTTTATCAATAAGAATCTAATTCTTCCAAGTCGAAATCTAGCTGTTACCTTGATGAACAAACGTATATCCTGTATAAAATTAGTGGTAAAGAATTATACTGATCCTTATGAAAGCAGCATGTTGACAAGTCATGTCTGGCATGTTTTTATTAAGTCCAGACAGAGCATCTTGAAACTCCTGAAGAATTTAAGTTAGAATGTGAGACAGAGGAGGCAGTGATGGAGCTACAGATTTCTCTGGCAACTGAATGGGCTGGGAACTTATCTTAGGGGATGATTACATTGCAAATTGATGCTCATGGCTGGCCCTTTCCAGCTGATTCAGGCTCACGGGGTTGGGTGGCTGTTTAATTATTTGGGCTTGGGCTGGAGCTCGGGCTCTGGGACCATGGGCAGAGGGTGAAGCTTCCCCTTGGGTAGGCTAGCCCCCTGCCTCGCCTCTTCTGGCAGAGGCCCCATCCCCACTTACTGCTCCCAGCCCCCCGTGGCCCTGGCCAGGGCACGGGGGGAGGGCTGAAAGCTCAGTCGGGGCCATAGGGGAGCTGAGAGCTCGGCCCCAGTTGTGGTTGAGCTCTCAGCCTCATCTGGGAGCACAGCAGAGCTCTCTGCCCCGGCTGGAGCTTGGAGCCCCTTCCCCATTCTGCCCCTTCCACCTATGACCACACCCATGGCCCCACCCCATTCCACCCCCACTCCATCTCTTCCCTCTGAGGCCCTGCCCCCTGCTGCTTCCTCCCCCCTTCCCCTCGCTGAAGCCCCAAGACTGGAAAAGCTCTGGGGCTGTGGTGGGAGCAAGAGCTCTTCCAGCCCTGGGGCTGTGGCAGTGGTGCTGAAACAGTTTTTGAAGTGGGGGTGCTACGAGTTCCACATTTTGGGACCTTTTATCATGAAAACCTCACAAATCTAGTGAAAAACCACAGGTGCTTCAGAAAAACACCTCTTCCAACTTATTGTTTGCACATAAAATCCTCGAAGACTTCCCTTAAATGCAAACCTCTCCATTTTGACCCACTTTTCAGCTCACCTTGCTGCTTCTTGGCTGACAAGCCTTTCCAGTTTATTATGCTCATTTCTTGTATTCCATCCTGGGCTGCAGTTAATGAAAAGTCTTTTCTATTATTTAAGTGATAGAGTGTCTCCATTATCTTTGCAGGAAAGGGAGATATTAGATAGTTTGCCAGTTTTCAGCATATTGTGACAAGTAATTAAAAACACTTAAGTGCTTTATATTGTTTGATGTTAAAATATAAGTTAACGTACCAGTTATTGGTGGCTTACATTATCCAGCTTGTAATAGGCAAGGACTGATCCTGCCTCATTCCCCCACCACCATATTCTCTACCAACAATGAGCCCCAAAAGCAGTGGAAATGCTGTGGTCCCACTGGAGATGGGTGGGACAGTAGTTGGCCATGAGTCCACATGGGGAATACTACATCCTAGGTGCACCTCAGGGCATTGTTTTGTTCCACTGCTTTGAGCCAAGGTTATTGTTGAGGGGGGAGGGGCATAGTGCAAGGATAGGGGCCACACCCTTAATCATATCAAAGTACAAGCTTTTTGTCATATTCCAAGACCTTTCAAACCCTCCCTCCCTACTTATTTTGTTCTTTTAGTGTTGCCACATTGTTGGAACTCTAGTAATATAAATAATACTTAGCAGTGATAAGAATTTTCACAGACAACTTGAGGTGAAAACGTGATGGATTGACCAAAATTTTGAAGCCTGTCTTTGTCAAACCCAAATTAAATTAATGAGCTGCAGTGTATTGTCTTTTTAAAGGAACAATGAACTTCACTTCTGTGAATGTTCCAGGACTCATCTCTGGGGAACCAAAGCAAGGTTTGGACTGGCAGAGTCCTGAAGAGTTTGCTGGAAAGATAAACAAGCTGGCGTGTCAGGGAGTTATCACACAGCTTAGCAGTAGCAAAATTCTCATTTGTTGTGGCTGAGAGGGGTAACAGTAGCTCACTATTCTGGGAACCTCAGCAGACTGTCACATTGGCAGATGATTTAGGGGAAATTTGGGAATGGGATGGTGTGGGGGTCACTTTCCAAAAAGTAACTGGGCAGGTGAAGCAAGGGTATGACCTGCATACTTGTCTGCTGGCTGTTGGTGTCAGGGCTGTAAGCGACAGCAGCACAGCATTTAAGGCACCCAAAGTTGCAGGGCAGGCAGTGATACAACTGCTTACTGGTCTGGGTTTAAACCCCAACACATCAGAGAGGTGCCAGTTAGAGAAGACATGAAAGTCACTGGCACTTGTAATAGAAGGAAGAAAAGCTGGAATATTGAGTAATATGGTCTCAAGTCAGACAGCAATGAAGCCTCCAACTAATTACTTTTGAAGGCTCCCTATTTTTTATACCTAATAAGGTCTCAAGAGTTCCAGATATTTCCCAGTTGGTTTGCTCACTTTAAAACAGCCAGCATCTTCCAAGTGTTTGTATGTCCAACTAAGTGCCACAAATACTGTGCATTTTATAACAAAAATAAGAAAAATGACATGTAGAGAATAAACAAACTTTATTTTATAACAGTATTACAGAAAGCAAAATATCACTTAATACAACTTCAAGCTGCTATAAATCTAATTTGGCATCTTAACTATACACAGTGTCAACAGCAAAGAGATTGACATAGTTAACAGGTTTCTATATAGGTTTTCCCCAGTGGCAGCCTCAACAAATGGCGTTGTTTTTTTATTACCTACAAGAATGGACCCACACCTTTCCCTTAGTATCCTAAAAACCTGTATTGATCATTAAACTATCTGAAACATATACCTGCTCAACATCAGAAACGTCAGTTCTAACATGTAGACAATGAGGTTTAATAGAAAGCAAGCATTCTACACACGTACATGATAGGGAAGTGCTGAAGTCTGGAAATGTTAAGAAAAAAGCACTAAGTTTTAAGCTGCCTGGGTCACCTTTTATTGGAAGGGGAGAAAGCATTTTTTTCCATCCTTCCTTATCTGGAATGTTGTAGACAGCAAAATGTCTGTGAAAGAGCTGAGCATTGGCACTGCAGTGCAAAGGTATCTAAAACACAGTGCTCAGTCAGAAGAAACCCATTTATAACTCTTGCTCTTCTATAGACTACCAGCACCTGTTCCCCACAGAAAGGAGACCACCCTCAGAATAGAGAGAGTTATAAGGTGTTAGTAAAAAAAAATCCATCCAGTCAAAGCAAAATTCTCAATTTTTTTTCAAATTGTATGAAATGTTTTGTTTTTACCAACCCCCCTCCCTATTTTTATGTTATCTGATAAACCTGAATAAGCTGAGAAAATCTGTAAATTACTCCAGTAACAGACTTGAGTTGAAATATTTGGAAAAAAACTACTTCTAAATCCATCAAAGATTCTCCTTTCTGCACAACTTCACCTATTCCAGTGAACAGTGCTATCAGAATACTTTTTGTTCACTCGCATATGATCAAGAATCATTTATAAAAATGGCAGGTAGTTGTGCAAATAAATCAACCCCCCTAAAACCTCAAAAAAGTTAAGAATGTTAAGAAGTGGTAATAAAAATAAACAAGAAAGATGTAAGGGAACTATATAGACCAGGGTAGTTAAGGTAGTGTTTGGCGTTGGCATTTCAACCTTGAGTGTCTGGTCACTGTTGCTAGACCTGGTGAATTCAATGCAGTAGTGGTGGTGTCACCAACCTGGAATGGTCAAAGTTCTTCGTGGTCATGAAGTGGGTGGGTTTTTTTTCCCCCTCTAAAAAAAGAAAGTAAGTTTATGTAAATATTCATGAAGAAGACAGTCTTAAAATAAGTATCACCTATAAGAACGGCCATACTGGGTCAGACCAAAGATCCATCCAGCCCAGTATCTTGTCTTCTGACACTGGCCAGTGCGATGTGCTTCAGAGGGAATGAACAGAACAGGTAATCATCAAGTCATCCATCCCCTGTTGCCCATTCCCAGCTTCTGGCAAACAGAGGGTAGGAGAGTCCAGAGGTTGTTTTCCCATGCAGATCTTTCATTTCAGCAAAACTTCATGAGTGATACAAGAGTGCCCTCCTCCCCATTCATGGGATAAATTGTTTAGTGTGTGGTCATATCTTGCTGCACTACACTTGCTGTTTCCTGCAAATCCCTCCACCAATTCCCTTGAGGTTTAATAGTGTGTGTCTCAGGGCCCGTCTATACTACTGCGGTAAGTCGACCTAAGTTCTGCTACTTTGCTGAGTTGACATAGCTTAGATTTACTTACTGCGGTGTCTACAGTGTGCTGCCTTGATGGGAGATGCTCTCCCATTGACTTCCCTTACTCTTCTGGGACTGATAGATTACTGGAGTTGACCGAAGAGCGCTCTGCGATCAATTTAGCAGGTCTTCACTAGACCTGCTTAATCAACACCCGCTACATTAATTGCAGCAGCACCGATCTACCGGTAAGCATAGACTGGACCTCAGTCTGTTGCAGCTCATAGTATTTTCTCTCTTTGTGACATTTAATAGTGCTTTTAAAAGTCTGCTGAAATTTTTATTCTACAATTTACTAGACAAATTTATGTTTTCAATGAATAAGTTCTAGTTATCCAGGTGTGGTGTTTTGCATCTCTATCAGCAAATGCAAGAGTATAATTCTTCTCCAATCATAGCCAGGACAGAGCCTTGACTGGTCTAGGTACAAATAATCAAGACTGGATGCCTTTCTGCAAGGTATGCTTTAGTTAAACACAAGTTACTGGGATCGTAGAGTGGTAACTAGGTGAAAATAAATGGCCAGTGATATATAGGAGGTCAGAATAAATGATCTAATAGTCCCTTCTGGCCTTAAAATCTATGCATGGAAATATGTAGAAATGAAAGCTGGGAAGATGACTTATTTAGAACTCCTTCACATTGGTCCCATCCGACTCCCATATAATCCTTTCAGATCAACAGCTATGATGGAATTGCTGAACTCATTCTGTAGCATGCAAGCACCCTCTGAAACGTTGCAAAACACTACTTTGTAACTACCAGTGACAGTTTTATACATGCACAATGTATGTCACACCTTTCCAAAATTCATAGTGATCTTAATAGGCACAAAGGACTCTGCTGATTTGCTTGCAGGATTTTCTCTTCCTTTATCCTGAACTTTGACAAAAGATTTTACTACTTTCTCTTCTCAATGAAAATCAATTTCACAGCTGGTCACCACTTCACTTCCTTTCAGTGGAATCACAGCGCAGCCCACTCATGTCAAGATAATTTCCTCTTTCCACAACGCATACCCAGGAGAGTCTCACAAGGAAAACTGTTACTTTTTCTTCTTATGCTGGGTCATTCATTGGCAAGGTATATTGCTCGGATTTTGGTAACACCCAACACTTGCTAAAAACTGTTTGAACACATCAAAAGTTGCAGTCCTTGCCCCAAAGACCTTTACATCTACACAGACAACATAAAACAAACAATAATAAAATCACTCGATAAACTTGGCAAGGGGCTAGAAAACCGTAGTTTCCATGTGGATCAGATTACTTGGGGAATACCTCACCTTTTGAATTCAGTGTTTGTGCAATGTAGGAGGTCTAACACCTGCCACCTCTTGTCCTTCTACTCTAGTGGTTCTCAACCCCTGGCCTGTTTGCACACAGCTGTGGCCTATGCGACATCTTCAGGGCCATAGAGATAGTATATATATTGTGTGGATGAAGCTCACATAACACAAAGTTGCACATGCAGCCCACAATGGTAAATAGGTTGAGAACCACTGTTCTACTCAGATTTAGCTATACATTTCTACTCACAGCAAGTCTATAACAGTTTCCACCCAGAGGCTTAAGAAAGAACATAAAAAGCAATATCCTTTCGAACTGAAAGAGGTAATATTTCTTATGCTTAACTGTTAGAAAAGGGGACAGGATATGGTTAAAATCCAGATAATTAAAACTGTATTCCTACAACAAAGAAATGCCACCGCAACTCAAACTAGCATTCTTTCATGCAAAAGAAATATAATACGGCTACACTGGCTTCCTTTAACTGCTAAGGGAAATAAATGTAAACACAAACTGATACCAATTTTTAGATCTGTTCTGTTACTGTTTGACCAGCCCAATCAATAGCTTTTCCTCTGAACTGAATTTAGAGCGACCGAAAGATATCAAATTAACAGCAGTAAAAATCACAGTCCTATCAGATCAGCCAGTGTGGCAAGCTTCCTGCACCCCAATCTGCTATGGTGTCTCAACCCTGACACAGAATTGATCAGATAGCACGTTCAACTCAGTCCTCATTCTAGCATTTCTGCTGAAACTGCCAAGTATATTGGTGGCTTTTGTGACATCTCTATACATTAGGAAATGAATGGACACTACAAATGTACTGTCTGCCCTTACAAATATGAACAGTGAGCACCTTTGCACCAGTGTGGCTCTTCCTGGTTATTAGAGCAAACTTTTTACAACAGAAGTTGATTCCCCATTAATAAAAGATCATAAAATGGTAGATTCTTTTCGAAGACTAACTGCATATACACATACAGACAAATGTGAGTGGGGCCGTGTTTTCCATCACTTTCCCATTACCACAGTTGATAAGGGGAGTAGGCTACTGAGATGCAAGACTAAATTTTGTATCTGACACACTTAGGTGAATCAAGAGTACCTCTTCTGAAGTTATTTTGGATTTACATTAGTTATATTGCTGCCCTGGATTTGAATGTGATTAAGCTAATTACAACCATATTATGTGCATTCAGCTACCCTGAATTAATGAAATAAAACATCACATAGTTAAGGATTAATTTGAAGATAGGCTTTCAAAGCATGGTCGAAACTAGCTACCGTTTCTGCTAGTCAGAATGGGAAAAGTTGACAGACAAGTAAACATCTGAGGGTATCTCTATACTGGCAGAGTTACAGCACCGCTCAGAGTGTGCTGAAGGGAAATCACTGTTGTGTTTTCACACAGTCAGCTGCCGGCGCAATAGTGTGTTCATACTTGCGACACTTGCAGTGGTATTCAGAGTGGTGCACTCTGGGCAGCTCTCTCATAGAGAATCTCTTCCTCTTCTGCCACTAAGAGTTGTGGGAAGGCAGAGGGGGTTGCGGGGCATCCTGAGTCCTGTCCCAATGCCCCATGATGCATTGCTTCACATCCCAGCAACCCCTGTGCTTCCGTCCACATCTGACACAATCTTTCAACGGTTTGTGTACTGCACACTCTGCCTCTTTGGTCTGCAGGAATGGATCCTGCACTGTTGACCAATATGCTGCTTGCTCTCACTCACACATCACGAGTGGCAGTGAAGTTATTCCTTAAACTATAAAGGCAAGAGCAGTTTGACATTGATATCGCCATGCATACTAGCTACAACACTAGATTGCTTGTGGCATTCACAGAGGTGCTGACCACAGTGGAACGCCGCTTTCGGGCTCAGGAAACTAGCACTGAGTGGTGGGATCACATCATCATGGACATCTGGGATGAAGAGCAGTGGCTGCAGAACTTTCGGATGAAGAAAGCCACATTCATGGGACTGTGTGATGAGCTTGCCCCAGCCCTGTGGTGCAAGGACATGAGAAGAGAGCTGCCCTGCCATTGGAGAAGCATGTGGCAATTGCACTGTGGAAGCTGGCTACTCCAGATTGCTACCGATCTGTCGCTAACCAGTTTGGAGTGGGAAAAATTGACCGTTGGACTCGTGTTGATGGAAGCATGCAGGGCCATTAATCGCATCCTGCTCCAAAAGACTGACTCTGGGCAATGTGCATGACACTGTGGATGGCTTTTTCCACAAATGGGCTTCCCTAACTGCGGAGGGGTGATAGAGGGCACGCATATTCCAATTCTGGCACCAGACCACCTAGCCACAAAGTACATTAATCGGAAGGGGTATTTCTCAAGGGTTTTCCAGGCGCTTGTGGATCACTGTGGGCATTTCACGGACATTAACACAGGCATGACGCACGCATCTTTTGGAACACTGGCCTGTTCAGGAAGCTGCAAGCAGAGACTTTCTTCCCGGACCAGAAGATCACTGTAGGGGAACTCAAAATGCCCACTGTGATCCTGGGAGACCCTGCCTACCCTTAAGCGCCGTGGCTTATGAAGCCATACAAGGGGCACCTTGAAAGCAGCAAGGAGCGGATCGACATCAGGCTGAGCAAGTGCAGAATGACTGTGGAGTGTGCATTTGGCTGTTTAAAAGCCTGCTGGCGCTGCCTATAGGAGGTGGGACCTGGCCGATGACAATATTCCTATGTTTATAGCCGCGTGCTGTACCTTCCATAATATTTGTGAAGGGAAGGGTGAATGCTTCACCCAGGGCTGGACAGTTGAATTTAGCGCCAGGAGGCTGAATATGAAGAGCCAGAGACCAGGGCTATTAGAGGGGCGCAGTGCAGGGCCATAAGGATCAGGGATGTCTTGAGGCAGCAATTTGAAGCTGAATATTTGTTGCTATGCTCAGGAGCGCAGTGCTTGTAATGCTCGGCGGGGACTGTGATTGGTGCAAATAATGCACTAAGAAGGTTTAAGGAAATTACCTGTTCCTTTGCAGGGCTCTGTTTGCTTTCAATTAATGGAATAAAGTTTGCTTGCAGACCAAAACAATTATTTTATTAAAAAACACCAACCAGAGGAGAGAGAGAGAGAAACAAAAAACCACAGCACTGAGGGGGATGAGGGAAGGGAGGGTCCCAGGAGGTGGTGGGGTCCCGGGATGGTTAAAGATTTGTGTATGTCCAGGTATCATAACCAACCTTCTCCTCTGGAGTACAATGCAGCGGGTACCGTACTTCATCAGGGCTAAACTGCAGAGTGATGGGTGTTGAGTGCAGTGGGTACTGGGAGTTCGCAGGGCTGGACTGTGATGGGGGAGGAATGGAATGCTGCAGGTACAGACTGGAGCCAGGAGATTGATAAGAGTGTGCTGGCAGTGTCTGGGGGGCACATGGGAAAGAGTTTTGTGACAGCGGCTGCAGGGGAGGGTGGGCATGGAGCTGCTTGGTTTGCAGTGCTAGTAGCTAGTATGTCCACTCGGCGCTCCATAATGTTTAAGAGTTGCTCCGTGGCTTCGTTCTGGCTCTCCGCATTCACCTTTCAGTCCCTCTTCTCATTGTCCCACCACAAACAATTTCACTGAAGCACTGTATTAGCAACTAATTGCCTACAAATCCTCAGTACATCAATACTAACATTTAATTGCCTATACTATCTCATCATACTCACAATGCTCTAAAGCAACAGTGAGAAGGACAAAGTGTCCCTCTCCAGGCCTTATGAAAATAAGCTGGTTATCTTCTAAGCAATTCTGGCCTTGAGCAAGACCATTTATCATGAATTAGTTACTGAGTGGTGTAAATGGCCCTCATCTTTGCCCAGGATTATCGACTAATCCACCTGGTTTTGGCTCACATTGCTTCACTCCTTAACAAGAACAGAACACGTAGTACCACATTTCGTCTTGTACCTCACATGTATTTTGAATGGCACAAAAACACGTTGGGACTGTAAATTAAAACATTGGAGCATCCAGTAAGATATTATCATGGTTATTATAACAATATGAAATTCAATCAAAATAAAGAAAGCATTCTATATATTCCGTTCTTCAATCAATCCTACATGTAGTCAACAATAATTCATAGAATCATAGAATATCAGGGTTGGAAGGGATTTCAGGAGGTCATCTAGTCCAACCCCCTGCTCAAAGCAGGACCAATTCCCAACTAAATCATCCCAGCCAGGGCTCTGTCAAGCCTGACCTTAAAAACCTCAAAGGAAGGAATTTCCACACCTCCCTAGGTAACCCATTCCAGTGCTTCACCACCCTCCTAGTGAAAAAGTTTTTCCTAATATCCAACCTAAACCTCCCCCACTGCAACTTGAGACCATTACTCCTTGTTCTGTCATCTGATACCACTGAGAACAGTCTAGATCCATCTTCTTTGGAACCCCCTTTCAAGTAGTTGAAAGCAGCTATCAAATCTCCCCTCATTCTTCTCTTCTGCAGACTAAACAATCCCAGTTCCCTCAGCCTCTCCTCATAAGTCATGTGTTCCAGTCCCCTAATCATTTTTGTTGCCCTCCGCTGGACTCTGTCCAATTTTTCCACATCTTTCTTGTAGTGTGGGGCCCAAAACTGGACACAGTACTCCAGATGAGGCCTCACCAATGTCAAATAGAGGGGAATGATCCCTTGATCTGCTGGCAATGGCCCTATTTATACTGCCCAAAATGCTGTTAGCTTTCTTGGCAACAAGGGTATACTGTTGACTCATATCCAGTTTCTCGTCCACTGTAACCCCTAGGTCTTTTTCTGTAGAACTGCTGCCTAGCCATTCAGTCCCTAGTCTGTAGCAGTGCATGGGATTCTTCTGTCCTAAGTGCAGGACTTGTCTTTGTTGAACAGTTAGTATGACTAAATTAAATTTAAAGAATCTAATATAGCTACTGTTTTAAATAGCCCATTATTTCACTATTAACACTAGATAACCCCTGGGTAAATAGGGAGAATGTAAGAATAACACATTCTCATTTAAAACAGTAACTTCTGCTTTTGGCCCATAATGGTACAGGTCATTTAGTTCTTTTATCACACTAGTAAGAGATTTTCTAGTTTTAAAAATTCAACAAGGATGTGAATTTTTCCAAGTTTTCTTACCACAACAGGAACATACTCTAATCCCAAATGTCCTAACACCAGGATATACAGTAAGTTCCCATCTACACAGAGACATTCTGAAATGAGGACAAAACAAATCAGGATTCCTTAAAATACTTCACTCAATGAATAAGTGGCTTAAATACTTTAGCCTCCAAATTGTTGACCCCTGACCTAATCTTGGATTGTTTATAGTTTTGGGTAAAATATAATCTATTTGCCAAGCATGCTTACAGGAATAATAATGGAAGTTATTGAAGCAGTAACAGCAAGTAGGAAAACAGAAATAATAGGGTTGTTAGGATTATATCCTATGTGAGGATTACAGGTAGTTTGTGGTCTAACAAAGTAAGGTGCAGGTGGTGACCCTTGGTTGCATATTTTTGCCAACTCATGATGAGAGAACAAACAATTGACCCCAAGTTAACAGGTACACTGCAAGCTTTGAAATTTTAATATAAGGAATTTCGGGACTTTTTATAAATTTTGTTGCTAGGCAGTTAGATTATATTGATGCATGTGATTAACTCTCGTAAATTGCATAGTTACTGGAAGCATAAATATTAGGTAACTGAATGAACCACATGGAAAAAGGTGGGCTGACGTTGCTGACCAATGTAGGAAAAGGTGAGCTGATGATGCCTATGTCCGAGTTAGCCGAACAACCTAAGGGAATTAAAGATTTGGAACTTTCCTTGCTTCCTTGGGAGCATCCAGTTGTAGAACAGCACATTGGTTGATCTGGGACCAACTTCCGGATATACGCCGCTTACCTTTTTTTCCCCTTATCTTTGTCACTAATGGTCTCCAGGAAGTTGTAAGTATGGACAATGTAAGATTCTAAGTATGAACAATGCAGGAAACCACTTTCCTGCACTTGTCTTATTTTTATTCTGACATAATTGATTCTTCTATAATTCCAATTATAGTTGTTTGCATCAACTAAAGCTCAAAGTTTGTGTTTTACCAATTTCATCTCCTTAATTAAGCTACCTAAATAAAGAACCTGTTATCTGTGAAAAGGGCACGTTGCATCCCAATAAATTATTTTATAATTGCAATAATTGATCAGTCTACAAAACTTGATTTAATTCCATCCTGGAGTGGGGAGGAAAGGTTAAACATTTCAGAACGTTAAGATGGCGAAATAATTGACTGCATTGATTCAGGAGCAGAGTAGAACCCCTTCATGACTGCAGGACTGTGTATGGTCTCCATACCAATACAATAACTATTCAAACAATGGAACTCTAAACATACGGCAGGTATAAGTGTGCAAATATACAGGTGAATAGGGAGTTTGCTTCATATTTCATACTTTGCAGGAAACAACTCAGGCAATGTACTAAAGTAACATGATGGGATATCAAAGTAAATGCCATAACAGGACTTTGAGACAAAATTGGTGGATATTTTTACAGGATACTTGAAATTAAAATTGAGAATGAGTTTCAGATTGGACTTTAGATAAAACTGCACCGTACACTTGGGATTATAAATGATTGCTCCCATGTGCCAGTTTTCAGTGATACACACTATAGATAAGAAAAGGAGCATCTATTACAAAATTCAAGTATGGGTGTATTAAAGAAAGATGAAGCAACTTTCAAACTATACTCTATTTAAAGGAAAATTGTGAGGAATAAAGACCAATAAAGATGGCCTTATATCTCAGCCCTAGTTGTACTATTTTTCTTGATGTTGCACGCTTCCTTACCTTGACCTTACTCCTCGCCTTCCTCAGCAAGTTCAGTTTCTTTATGCACCACTACCCTTGTGACAGACATGTCAGGGTGCTGCTCTTTGGCTTCTTTGATTGCCTGTGCCAGTGCCTACAAAATATTGGAAAGATTTAGTTGAACAACGGCAGAGTGAAATTAAAAACTGCACTGGAGTGGTGGGCTAATGACAACACATTATGATACCATTTAATCACACAGTTATTCAGGACAAAAGCTCCTGAGTCTAAAGGGGAATCAGGAAAGGAAACTGAAGAGGAGCCCTAGAAACTCTCTTCTTCTGTCCAGTGCTAGAAACTAGATAAAAAATACCCTCCATCCATCTAACAACTGATTTACATGCTGGTTCAGAGAAGCATACAAGTGTAGGGCTGAAAGGGACCTTGAGAGTTCGTCTAGTCCATTCCCCCACACTGAGGAAGATAAAAGGGGAAGAAACAGGATCGACATCATGGTAGAGCATATCAGGAGGAGGCAGGGGATGAGGCATTTCTAGAATAGAAATATCCCACACACAAGATCTGGTAGTAATGGGGGACTTTAACTACCCAGATATCTGTTGGAAATGTAATATGGAAAAAACCACATTCTTGGAATGTAATGGGGACAACTTCTTGTTTCAGAAGGTGGAGGAAATAATTCAAGGAACAGCCATTTTAGACTTGATTCTAACTGGGAGGAATTGTTTGTGAATCTGGAAGTGAAAGAGCACTTGGGTGAAAGTGATCATGAAGTGATGACCTCATGATTCTGAGGAAAGGAAAGATTGAGAGCAGCAGAAAAAGGAAATGAGAGCCTGTAAGCTTTTGACCTGCTGCAGACTAGCAATAGAAAGCAGCCTCACATGTTTGCCTAATACAATGCACAATATGGGAATCTTATTACATAGAATTTCCCCACTTCTGAAATTTGTGATATGATTTTGCAGATTTCCAAAGATTACAGAGAGTAGACAAAAAGAAAAGGAGTACTCGTGGCACCTTAGAGACTAACAAATTTGAGCATAAGCTTTCGTGAGCTACAGCTCATTTCATCGGATGCCACTGAATGCATCCGACAAAGTGAGCTGTAGCTCAAGAAAGCTTATGCTCAAATAAATGTATTAGTCTCTAAGGTGCCATAAGTACTCCTTTTCTTTTTGAGGATACAGACTAACACGGCTGCTACTCTGAAACCACAGAGTAGACAATGAGGTTATACCCCTGTATTGGTTTCTTTGTGAAAAATAATTTTCAGGCATGAAATTTCTAGTATTGTTCTGTCTCATTTGAGTACTAATTGCTTAGATTCATTAGTGATTATTTCCTTATTTGCCATCACTTAATGGCCTTCACTATCATATTGGGGAGTCCCAAACCATTAGATAAAAGGGACAATTCAAGCGTACAAAAAAGATAATCAGGGGCACTTACTAAATTCCAAATAGTTTTTAATTAGGGAATACCTTTAATGCAGCAAGCCTAAAATGGGTCTGTACTTTACATCAATATTCACACTGGAAAGCTAGCATGACAGGACAGTCACCATGACATATGCCTTTAGCTGTCGGTACACTGGGAAAACCAGCAGGGAAATCCCTTGGTAGTGATACACTGGGAGTACTTCCTCCTATCCCCATTCAAAGAGCCTCAAATTAGAAGTTTCTGGGTACACAGTATATAGCAATTCTGCAAGAAAGGCACTAATATTTTAGCAAGGCTTCAAAAAGCAAATAGTCACAGAAAATGATCAGTTCTTGACTGTTGGAAGAGGTTTTTGCAGAATAAAGTGGGGATGCACACAGTGCTAAAAAATAAGCTTCCCTCGGGGTCCTCCTTGAAGTTTTATCACATGGTAACTGGACCAAACTTGTTTTCAACACCCATACATTCCTTTCCACAAAATCTTACCCCCCACCTTTAATCTACAGGAATAATGAAAATATTAAAATACATTTCCTTCGGTTTACCAAATTTTCCTGTTTTGAGGGTCCTCACCTCCCCATAATCTTGGGAAAATACTGCCACACTACCAGTGACTTTGGTGTTATGTTAGGGGGAAAACCATTTGAAATGGGATAGCATGCAACAAAGGAAGCGGATAGTATCAAATGATATTAAATGAAACCTAGAAGGCCATATTACTCTCACTCCTTCATGAAAGGTGTTTTAAAGTAACTGTGACAAACAACGTAGTTTGTCAATAAATTGATATATCATAACTAAGGGACAAGGAAGGTGTGTTAAATGAAGAAAAGCTGCTCTCAGATACACTGAACAACTTTTGCCCAAGAACAATGGATAGTCTCAACAAAGACCAAATTAACTCAATGGATTGGGCAGAAACTTGCATACCAACCCATGAAAGTGCCAGACGTGTGGCTTATGAAGAGGGAGACTCCAACTGAAATGGGGTCAGGTCTAAGGGAAAATACCTTTTGGGAAGGAAGGTGATCCTTACGTAATATGATAATTAATTCCAAATACCAAAGGCTTGAAAAACAAGTGAAACTGTAGGGAGATGTGCTTTGCTGTCTTTGGACATATAAGATTCTCTTCTTTTTCTGTAACTAGGCTGAAATTACCTTAACTAGTTTAGCTACGATGAAACGTAATTCTAGATGTTAAGTAAATGGTTTCTTTTTACTCCATTTTCTGTTTTTAATAAATCTTGTTTTATTAAGAGATGTACTGCTGCAGGTGAGCCTTGCACTCACTCAGTTTCAGAGGAGAAATGCACCTGCAACCTCAAAGGAAACATACACCGAGCAAGAGCAAGAGTCTTTGGAATCTACATGCCATACTTGATCTCAGTCAAGAGTCATGGGCAAGGATGTACTACGTCACTGAGTTGTGTTGCTATGAAGCTATGCAGTGAGTGAACACAAGGGAAGATGCCAAAGAACCAAGTAGGAGGCAAGAGTTGGAGATAGTGTTTCATAACAGTAATAAATCCATATACAGTTTTAATGACAAAACAGCCTAAAACTCTACTGAACCCTAAAAAGAATACAGGGTGCTACAAAATAAGCATCTTAGCTTGGAGGGCAGGGAGTTGAAGAGTGCCATTTCTTGAATTAATAGGGTAATGGGGGAGAGGAAATAATCAGAACTGTGAAGGGAGATTCAAAGGTTAAGAAAAAAGATGTACTGATTAAGGAGTACATCTCCGTAAAGAGTACGGAGTCTTATTAAGAAAACTTGTGGACCCAAAAGGGAATACTTCATTAGTACAGCTTGGTGCTTGCTGTCATCTCTTAAACCTGACAATTTTATTTCTAGTTTGCATTTTAAGCAGCACCATGTACTAGTATTTAAGGGACCAGCCTGTTTAGGTAATTGTCATGGCTACAAGGCAAAGCACCTTAGATCCCGTTAATCCCTCCTGACTGTACCCCATAGGGAACAGGCATGGCTTCCTACACCTCACTTTGGTGGAACCTTGAAGTCCAATCACACAGAGTGGATCTCTGGGCTGCAGCCCCCCCGGTTCACAATCATGTTAATGACATGATTCAATTTGCTTTTGGCACCTCTAATAGTTACCCTTTGAGAGCCCGTGAGAGTAAAAGTTTGCCCTGACTCAGGAACAGTACCTTGACACAAAATATTATGTACTCATTCCTCAAAGGTACAACACAAGTAGAACAGAAGGTAAAAACAATCAAAGGCCTACACACACAAGGTTTACTTACACCCCCAAAACTTTTTTTGATAGCTTTTGTAAGTTCCTCTTAGCGCAGCTAACTGTCCCTAGGATGTTAGGCCATTTTATTTCAAACAGATAACCCGAGGGGCATATGATACTTCTAAAATGTTTTAGGTGATTGTCATGGCTACAGGGCAAACTACACCTTAGATCCTTTTAGTCCCTCTCGAGTGTACCCCTTAGGGCAGTGGCTCTCAACCTTTCCAGGCTACTGTACCCCTTTCAGGAGTCTGATCGGTCTTACATACCCCAAGTTTCACCTCACTTAAAAACTTCTTGGTTACAAAATTGTACATAAAAATACAAAAGTTAATCTTTTACTGAATTACTGAAATTTCTTACTTTCTCATTTTTACCACAATTATAAAATAAATCAATTGGAATATAAATATTGTACTTACATTTCAGTGTATAGTATATAGTGCAGTATAAACAAGCCATTTTCTGTATGAAATTTTAGTTTGTAATGATTTCACTAATCCTTTTTATGTAGCCTGTTGTAAAACCAGACAAATATCTAAAAAAGAGTAGTTGTACCCCCTGGAAGACCTCTGCGTACCGCTGGGGTACACGTATCCCTTGTTGAGAACTAGTGCCTTAGGGAACAGGTTTGGCTTCCTACACCTCACTTTGATAGAACCTTGAAGTCCAATCACTCAATGAATCTCTTGGCTGCAGCCTCCCTGGTTCCCAATCATGTTAAGGCACAACTTCCTCATTCTTCACAGCAGTGATGTACAGTGCCAACAGTCAAGGACTCAATCTCTGTGGTATAGTTTGTTAGTATTATGAACTTTATAGATGCTTTGCAGAGTCAATGGTATAATTTGTCATAAGCTAAATATCACTGTGAACTTTAGTACAAAAATGTACTGTGTAGTCAACACTTACAACTTATTTTTCTGCTTCATACTGTTTATTTCAGTATAAGAGGAAGACTTAGAGAACAGTGGAGGGAATAAATGGAGTTTTATTAAAGCAAAGGTACTGTCTGACCTTTTCAGATGTCCCAAATGTATTAAATACATTTCAGGGTAGACATAACCCATGCCTAATGCTAAACAGCTCTGGCATTTAATTACAAGCTTCAAGGAGAGATTGAACTTGTCATGAGCCACTTACTACAGGCACATCAAAATCTGAAATTAAATTTACTCAGAGCCCTCAGTACATTACCATTAAAAAGTGAAAATTAAATTCCTATTTGTTGATTTGTATACAACTTAGAAACTGCCTCCACTGCAACGTCATGGAAAGTGCAGACTTTCTTGACTAAATAACGCAACGATAATGATTTTTTGTTTCAGCTTTGTCACCATTACCTCTTAAATGAAAAGTTATGCAAATAATCTGAGCGACCCCAAGGGAAAAATAATTGCATTTTTCTGATTTTCCCGTTCTCCACTTTTCAAAGTCTTTCTTTTTGTATGGGACAGGTGAAATATTCTAAGCCCGCTCTCTCTTGTGAGCATGAAAAAATTGTGCTTGGTTTTGGGTACCTAGTGCTAATAAAGATTAACTTATCTGTGCAAGATACCAAAGGGATCCACAATTGAGTACTATGCTTCATTTATTGCTAATATACATTAACACACTATGAAACATTGGTTTTTTTGATATTAAAGGAAAGATCTTGGTGTCCTAATATTCATCAAAACTTGCATCATCACTCAGAAAACTGAGGATCCGCCCAGGAAGCACATATGATAGCATAATTAGTTGATGGAATTGACATTCTCAGAATCTACTTGCTCCTATGAATTCTGCTGATCTCTTCCTTTTCTGTATTGCACAGATCTTAGAGGGACATAGACAGCGTACTGTAAAAGGGAACTGCATATGTACTCACCTGGTCATGGTCAATATCTGCATCTCCAGTGATGACAATGCGCTTCTCAATCCTTGTTTCTGATACTCCACCTTTTACTGTCTACAGATAGCACAAAACAAAGAAATTCATCTTTAAAATGATTCCATATAGGTAAGGAGGGGAAATCATAGAGAACGTCTACTCCTACTCTCCAGTGCACAAGTGGGAACTGAGAGTTGGTACGAAAGGGTTGCAGTTAGTGATACAGATTCTTGGTCCTACATCTAATCATCCTTTCCTGCTTATGGTTAACTGTATAGCAGTGATGTCCAAGAGGAAGTTGCCCAAGAAGACCAACCTGCAGAGAAGGCCCTAAGACATTATCTGAGGTCAGGTCTGGACAGATATGGAAATGGGGCTGATACATCAGGGTTCCAGTCTTCTTTGTCATCATTTGGGTTTTGGTAAGTGACAAGTTTCCTGAAACTTCCTTAACTACTGTGTGTCAGCTCATCTGTTCTCTACAAAATCTCACAACTATCAGTAAGGTTCTCTCTCATCTGCAGTTCTGACCTTTGTGCATCTTTCTGCCTCATCAATTAACCATTTAATTTCAAATCTCAAATGAAAACTTCATTTTTCGTCTCTATTTAATGCTTAAGGCATTTTGGGAAACAGTTTGTAAGGAAAATAATACAGATATAAAATACAATGCTATTTTATCATAAGTATTTGGCTAGAGATGAGATTAAGTTCTTCCTTAGAGAATATTATAAACGGATAGTTCTCTGAAGACAGTTACAAAAGACTTCCATACAGCAATCAAGAACAACATTGAGATTGGAGGTACAAAGTTTTAAGCCACTTTATTTTGCATTAATCAAGAGAAATGAGTTATAAAACAACTCTGGAATTATTTCCAGTATGAGTACTTCGAGAATTCCATCGGAATTCAAATCATCTCGACAGTTTCTGTATTTCAAACAGATGAATGAAAAATTCTAGATGCAAAATTTGGACACTGGGAAGTGGCTAGAATATTTGGAATCCAAGACCATAAATTTACTGTATTTATAGAGAGGCTGTTAATGGCAAAGTAGCAAATTTGCTGTCAGATGGCTCTTCCATACTTCTCTTTGACCTCCTGGTTGACAAAGCATCATCTAATTTCATTTTAAAAATATAGCTCCTTTCAATGAGACAATATTCTCTAACAGTTATTTTAGCTCCATGTACATTTGATAAGAGAATTATTTTTTCTGTTGGAACACAGGTGGCATTTTATTCCACAGAGTCTTTTTCAAGATTCTGATGGTGCTGAAGGATTTGAAAAGCAAGAGGAAGTTGAAAAGGAGCTGTTCACTAAACTTTCTGTTGAGACACTTCGTTTTAAATTCTGAGTTCAGAGTTTATTTTTTGGTGACTTTCACTGTACAATTTCCAACATCCTTCTCTCCGGACCTATTCTGTGAATATATTTTGCTCTCTTTAGGATATTCCATTATGAACTTAATTCCGTGAGCACTGAATTACTATCCAATAAAATTAAGATTCTTGTCTTGAAATAAGATTTACTGTGCACCTTTCACTTCCCCTCTTCCTTTTTGTTTCACCATAAACTGGAGTCCTTCTTGAGTTTTTCCTTCTAGAACTGCATTAGAAAATCATCAGAATTCAGTAACTCTGTTGTTTGCATGCCTCTTTTAAAAACAAAAACATGTTTATTCACCATTCAGGAAAAATAACATTTCTCAGCTGGAAGGGGGAGACACAGAAAAGTGTCACACAGGACAGAAATGGAAATAGACCCCACTTCTTGCTGACTTTGAGCTTCTCGACTGACTCTGAATGCTGAACACTCAGGACTTGATTCAGCCCTGGCATATGCCAATTTCTAAAGTAATCCAAGGCACAAAGTCCCCAGTAGCAGAATCTGCTCAGAAAGATTACAAAAATTGATCAATGCAGTCCCAGGAGAGGCTGAGTAAAGAGGACTGAAGCCAGGAGATATGTTGTTTCAGCATATCCCCTGAGTTGACTCCATTAGTGGGGCCACCACAGAGCTCAATCACATTAATTACCCCTTCCCCTGGCAGAACCCCCAGCAAAGATCATCAAGAAGTGAGATGAACAGAGATAGCAAAGGCTGGGTGCCAAGCTGTGTCCCCAAAACCCACAAAAGCCAGAAGTAACACCAGCTGCAGGTACAGCAAAAATTCAGATTATATTTCTCTCTCTTCTCCAGTTCTCCCTCCTGATTTCATCTATGATATTGCATTAAGACTTGGTTTAGGGAAGTCAATTAAAGCCCAGAACTGGGAATGGCACGATCCATTTTAAATATCAAATTTGTTCAGAGTAATCACTTTGAAGGAACCAATGTACATTTTGACAGGGTCATTTTTAATGCACGGAGAAGTTGTCGGTTTTACCTTAGTGATGTGTGTGGTTGTAGTTGTAGAAACTGATTCAGACGTGATAGTCTGTGCACTCAACAGCACACCAGCATCACCGCCTGAGCTGCCATCAAACTGTAGACAGTTGGGAAAAGAAAAACAAAAGTTGCATTTTCATGCCTAACGATTTAAAACTTGTGTGTTAACAGAACACAGTTAATGCAACATTCACTACTAATACCTACATAATTCTCCTTTAGCTCAGGCGGAAAAGTGCTTTTGGAACAGAAATGTCTATGGTTTCGCTGGCAAACAGAATGACCATATGAAGACAAACACAGGTTTGATACACATTACCACTCTAGAATAAAAGCTAACTGGTTTGCTGAATCACATCAACCATTTTAACATGTCCTTTGTGGACAAAATTATAATCAAAGTTACTCTTCCCTTTTGGGAGCTCAGAGGTGAGTTAAGTCAGATCTCTGAACCCATACATTTTTAGACAACCAGATCCTATACTATTTGATTAAAAAAAACACCACCAAACCTTTAACGTTAGAATGATACTTGCTCTTCTGTCTACTTAGAGTCATTTTTAAATTGTTCCATGTTAACAAAATAATCAGTGCCACTATAGGGAAGTGTTGATTTGTAAAAAAACATTACCATGTTATCATCTCGCTTGAATTTGGAGTTGATCATAAAGGCCAACTTGTAAACAGCATTATAAATGATATTCCAAATCCACATCCTGTACCTGTGGAGATTCATATGTGATAGTTTTAGTCTCTGTTTGAACAATTGGGACTTCCTTGGTGGAGATTTCTGTTCTCTGTGTGGCATCTGAAATGGTCACCATCTCTGTCTTTACTACTGGAGGCTGTGGTGGAAGAGATAGGGTACAATTAATCCAAGGGACGTAAAACAAAGATTTGCATAGTGGGGTAAGATGAAATAGAACAAAAACACAAAATACAGTAGTGATATAATATATATATTAAGAATGTCTCCCACATACGCACACAAAAGCCACGATGAGAAGAATAAAGATGATAAAACAAATAGCACACCAGCCCTTTAATACCCTCTCTACAAGAATCATAGGAGATCTAAGTTTAACGTCTTAGCCAGTAGTAGGCACTGAAACCAGATCACCACCACTTCAATACTTCTTCAGATGTCTATTTAAAATGTGTGAAGGACCATCAGTGGGAGAATTTTAGTTCAGCTACAGTTTCTTCCATCAGACAAATGTTGCCAGTGTTACATAAAATAAGCCGTGCATTAAAAATGGAGAATGAAGTTACTACAATATTTGACACACATCCCCAACAGTGGATAAAAACTTGCAATGTTTTCTAAGCATTTCTAAAGTTTAATTTTATTTTTTAATGTAAGCAGCTTCTGGAGTAGACAAAACTACTGTCTATGGATTTTAAATAGCATATAGCTAAACTACATGTCTAGAATCAGGTTTAGGTGCCAACTATTTTCCTCTGAAAACAAACTTTAAAAGCCATTTTAGCCCTTGTTGTAGGAGATATTTTTTTTCAGTACTGTTCTCTGCTTGGGAACCAAAAAGTGATGACAAATTAGAACTCTGCAAGTCAGTAGAAACTATAATGGTCTTAGACATGATGGACCAGATTTTCATGACCTAGTCAGATTTTCAAAAGAACCTAGATACCTAACTCTCATTAAAATCAATGAGAGTTAGGCACCAAAGTGCTTCTGAAAAATCCCACTAAGTATCTATGTGCAGCTTTAAGTGCCTTAATACCCTTAAAGATCTGGCCTGTTTTGCTTATATTCTTAGAAAGCATGTGTGGAGCCCAATATAACCTTGGAGAAGCTAGTTTACTCACATTCTCAACTACAGGAACAATTGGGGCTATTCACATAGAAGAGGGAAATAAGGTGGTCTTAAGAAAAGTATGGGACATCTTTAGGACAATTTCTGAACTGGTCTTGAACTGGAGCCAAGTACAATGAGGAAAAACCTTAAAGGACTGAAGGGTGATGCCACAAAAAAAAAAGTGGTCAAAACTTCAGAGTTTACCAACTGTACATGGTCCTCTACATTCCACTTTACTCCTCCCCCCTTCAAAGGGCCATCTCATGATTAACCCATTAAACCTGTTTCTGTACTAAAACAGATGGCCATGATTCCTTCTGGAGCCAATTCATGCTTCCACAAGTATCTACTGGTACTAGAGGAGGCTACAATGATAGATGTGCCATCCTCTTACTGCTTAACCTGCCTTAACTGTAGGTACTCTTAACACCCCCAGAAATTTGTATCTATATAGATTCCAGGCAGTGCTTTCATAATAAAAAGATTTAGAGAAAGAAAAATCTGTGGATAGCAAGAAAAAAAATGGAAAAAAGGTGTGAAAAATTGTTTTTAGCATACATGATTTAAATAACTTTCCAACTACACCTACAAGTCATGGGTGTGTCAAAAACAGCCAACAAAACAGACAAGACAAGACTTGAAAACACTAAAGACATTCAAATAAAAGTAAAAATTATGCAGTAAGGAAAAAAGGAGATGGTACAGTCGTAGGAAGGTTTGCTTTACTGGGCAATTCCTATCTGTTTCAGCAAAAAGCCAGAAACCATGACTGAAGTAGGCAGAGTTTCCCTGCTCATCAGTGGTTTCCCCCTTCCATAAGATTTGAATCTTGGTGAACACCTGAAGAGCTGGGAGAACAGGAGAAGAAGAAAGGCAGGTATATTTCCACCCCAAGGAACGTAACATCTCTATATAATCTAGTTCTCAAGCTGTGCTACCATTTACCTCAGAACAACAAATTATTTGTGGCACAACATCAATGTCAACATGAGACACATCTCCGTTTATTCTGAGCTGTTCTTCCTCATCTTCTGCTCTCAGGTCTTGCTTCCCCTCTTCCACTACATTCTTCTCTCCAGTTTTTATGGCAACTGCATTTTCCTGGGCCAAAGCCTTTGCCGTAACTTGCGTGTGCTCAACTGTTACTTTACTGCCTTCTTGTACAGCTTCCACACTCTGTATTACTTTTGTTGTACACTCCTCCTTTCTTTTAGCATCTTCATTTTCTTCTTGTTCTTCCCTTATGATGTCCTCAGCCGCTCTGTGGTGGGGCTGATACTCTCCCACCACTTCATCCTCACTCTCACTACTGCTGCTGCTGCTATCTGATGACAGTGAAGAAGAGTCCTTTTTTGACAGGTGTTCCACCTTACGGGTCTCCCCAGCATCAGTGACCGCTTGCATTTTCCCTCTGTTGATTTCATCTATGACTACAGTCTCTTCTATCCCAACCTCTGCCTGCTGCTTCTCCTCCACTACGTTCAGAGTCTCATGTGAACTCTGCACAAAAAACACGGATGAGGAAAAACAAAAGTATAGTATATGAATAAATCAAAATGATGAAAACAAAATGAACTGATGGCTGGTTCATGTCATGTAGAGAACAAAGGTGACTGTGATGGTTAACTGAAAAAAGGAAAGAAAGAATGAAGGTGGATCAGAAATGTCAGACCCGAGTTAACTATGGAAAAATCAGTAGAACCTTATCAGCATCGCTGGCTCCAGTGCAAGGCCCTTCTGCTTTGGAAGCAAGTTTCTGTGAAACAAAAGGCAACCAGAGGACACAAATCAATATGTGTTTTAAACACCAGATGACACAAACATTTAATATCTCGTAGACAAAACATGCAGCAACACTTTCATTAACTCTTATTGATGACACAGTACTGTCTGCATAAAAAGATTTAAAATGTATGCATTCTGAAAACTCTGTGGGTATAACTATGTTTGATTCACGATCCATACAGAATTTACAGTTATGTTTGTTTTCTACAAGCAATTCTTTAATCTAGTTTGTAAAATACCTATTTAAGATTTTGGATACCACTGGAATCATGTAAGATCTTTACCAAAAAAGATTTGGAACAGAAGCATAAACATCAGCCAAGGCTGCTTCCTACTGGGGCAATCAATTATTTACTGCTAAAATAGTTAAAATCAGTCAAACAAAATTACTATATATATGGAAAGAAAAAGTCTTCACACACTATTCCAATGTCAATTTATTCCCCCTCTTCCCACCCCCCACACCCCAGTTGTATTTTTAAATGTTTTGATGACTGGACTTTATTTGGTCTGTTGCTTTAAGGAATTTGGCAGATCATTTCAGTAATTTTATAAATTGCAATAGAATATCACAACAAGAACGTTTAGAATACTCTGATGTGAGAATGTCAAAGGGACCATGTTTCAAGATTACCAAGAAGAGCCTATTGATATCCCAAAACATGAGATTAAAGAAATTCTATTAGCATTTGTGCCATAACAAAACAATTTGTGATGGGTATGCATGTATTGTCATACTATGTAAAAATAATTTTTATCAGATTTAAATAGCCATGAAAATTAAACAAACAAACAAACAAAAAAACACTAAAACAGTGTTCAGGATCAAATGCACAAAAGCAAAAATATCATTAAAACCAGCACACCATCTGTGACTTAATCCTGTTTTGTTTACCAACTGCAGTATGAACAGGGCCTGATCCAGCTCTCCCGGGGAATCAAAAATGGGAGTCAAGTGATATTTTGTAAATGCAAAGAATAGAGGATTAAGCCTGTAGTTTACCAAGTGATACTCCCTCACCCTAATAGAAGTTAAGATTTGCTGAACTGCTTTGACACAATGGGATTGAATAAAAAGTTACCTTCATGTAGATTTTTGGTTTTGTGGGTCCATGTCTAAATTTCAACATTAAATTTAACCTAGTTTGTATTTGTGGTTAATCTTTCTCCTCTATTGTCTTTTATATTAAATATTATAATATATATATTTTCTTAGGGACACATGGCATCGAATAGGTCAGCCTGTTTAATAGATGATAAAAATGTATGCATCAAATTTTATCTGACATGTTAGTGAATATTCATTTCGGTATATGTTGACATAGTGGAGAAATAAAGCAAAAAAGCACCTCAGGCAGTTGTAAGAAAGGTGAGGCAGAAAGCATTTCAGAAGGTACATTATCTTTCACAACAGTGCCCTCTGCTGTCCGTGTGGTGGATGAAGTGAAGGTAGATTTCATGCTAGTGGAAAAGCCCTCTTTACTAAATAAAATTGACGTTATTTCCTCTTCTAGGCTCTAGACAAGTTATAAAATGGAAAGCAAAGAATTAAAATAGTGGGAGACACAACAGTAATGATCTACAGAAGAAAGGAGAGGTTAGGCAAGAAAGAAAACAAATAGCACACACACAAGGATTTGCTTCTGAAATAATTCTACAAGATCAAAGGAAAAACTAAAATGTGTCCCTTAAAAGGAAAAATATGACAATATGACAAGCTTTAATGACAAAAACTTGCTGTGTACCAAAGAAACGACAATAGTTCGCCATGCCAGAATATGATATATCCCCACTTCAGTTACTGTCTTACACATTATTTCAGATTGTAAATATTATATATATATAAAAAAACAAAAGGAGGATTAATAAGACCCTCCCATAACTGTCAGAACAAGACTAGAGTTTTCTTTTAGATGGAATTTCAGATTCAATATTAAGAATATTTTTAAATTCATTCTTAATACTTTCCCTGTTTCCCCTTGTGGCATTAGCCCTGAACAGAGGTCGAAGCATAACTGCAGATTTCTACTTTTGATGGTTATTTAAATAGATTGTGTTCACCTTAACTTCAAAAGGGCTGTTTTTAAAAACAATTACTTTAATCAGGAATCAAATGTGTATTTATCCAAGAATTCAGCATTAAAAAATTTAGAGCTGCTCCCACCTATTGGGCAAATACATATTTATCCAAATACTTCTTTTAAAGTACTAAGGATATTTATAGAAAGCCTATAGTTCTTGCCACATAATGCTATGAATCTGTATTTAGATACATAATAAAAATAGTGAACTACACATTTGAAAAATATTACAATGTATGCACAGCAGCTGTCTTTTAAAGCTGAATCTTTCATTTGTTTCAGTTCCACCTTCCAAAACAAAAACAAAAAACCCACAACCCCTCCCAAGATGATATATCCCGTTAAAAGCTAAATTTTATTTTTAAAATATGACTTTGTGCTTTATAAGCTTGAGAACAGTACAATAATTAATATTTTTATACTGGTGTAACTTAGCAGCTGAATAAATTTGGTATTGACTACAGCAAATTTATTTCTAGCTCAGGACCTTGTATGCTGCAAGATTAACCCAAAGTACACTTTAGGACAAAGCTGTATTTTAAGCACATATTTTATTATAAACTCTGGACACAAAGAACTTGTGTTATAGACTCTGAACACTTATACAGTAGACTGTGGAGCTGCACATACTACATATATGGCAAGAGGAAGAAAGAGACTCCTATATTCATCCTATAGTAAAATTACAGCATACTTTCAAGGCAGTCAAGGCAAATTTGGATGGGAGTTGATTAATTTTACCCTAATAGCGTGTTTGACATTCACAGGGGATAACTACTTTTTTTCTTTTTTTTTGTGGCTACTTTTGACAAAAGTTCATATATACAAGACGTTAAGAACTTTTGACTTCAGCCTGTGTGCAGGCAAGCAGGCTCATGGTCATCTGGTTAATCCCTAAACTGTAGTCCTACAGCATGCTGTTATTTCAGCGAATCAGAGTTGACCACACACACACTGGCTGTAGTTTTGTCTGTGTATACATAAATATGCACACCATTTGTTTGCAGTTTACTACCACCAATTTTTTAGCCCGTCTAACCTTTGTGGTTGTACGTGCACGTCTATACACCAAAGCTGTGCACGGGCTAACCTACCCGAGCAATCTGGAATCCAGCTAACAATACTAGTGCAAACAGTGCAGCACGTGCTTCAATACAGGCTAGAGCGCCAAATACGTGCCCAGGGTTTGTGCCAGGCTTGTACTAGCTGCACACAGACCCATGCTGTGTACACTGTTATCACAGGTGCTAGCTATATTGAAGCAAGCTTGAGTAGGCTAGCCCATGCACAGCTTGGCTGTGTAGACATACTTTATGAAAGCAAGTGGATTGACATTTGTGCTAAAACTGAGGTTCTCTACTGTGACCAGTTGGCTGGTAAGGAGGTTGGCAGACTTCTACTATTATCAGTATATCCCTAAAATTGGAAGCCTTCATCAAAATATAAAAACTGTACAACAGTTATCCACTGTAGATACTGTGTGTTAGCATCAAACAATCCTTTGGGTTAAGTGTACAAAACATAAACCAATATGAATTAATGTATAAAAGCATAAGGGGATTTTATTTTATATTTGTTTTGGTTAAAAATGGGGTGTGACTGTGATGGTACTGGACATTCAAGACGTAAGAGGGTTATAACCATAGTTTTCCTTCATAAATATTAAGTCACAGATGCTGTGCAATCAAAAGGATGGTGGTACAAATAGTGTTAACCAAATGTAAAATTTCTCCCTCACATAGAGAATACAGTTAATTAGTGTGAACTTTCAATGCAGCAGTGGGGGAGAAGAAGTAGGTAACAATAAGGAAAATGGCAGTGCGCTCCTTAGACTTAACGGTATATACACACATGCTTAATGCCAGTTTGCAAAATTGCTATGGAAGTTTATCATACCTGGAACAAGATTTAGCAATCTGCTGGCCATCCTAATACCATAAGGATGAAAAAATGGAAGGGGGCATGGTGTGGTGGAAATGAGTATTTTATTACTCCATAAAAAGGCACTACTATTTGCTTATTTTAGGGCTCAAAGCAGGTCCCATTATTATTAGAAGATTGGAAATTTTCCTATGCCCCACTCCCTGCTTGACAATTGGCAACACAGCAAAATATTTTATACACTGTGTGTTACTGAAATAACGTTTACAGCATTTGTTCTTTGTTTTTAATCTGATTCTAAATTTCTAGCTAAAAACAAGTCAAAGGTGATCTGATTAGTAGCTTGGCAATTGCTACTTCATAATAATAAATAATACTCAGCTCTTATATAGCACTTTTTATCAATAGATCTCAATGCGCTTAGCAAAGGAAGAATCAATTTTCTCATTTTACAGATGGGGAAAGAGGCAGAGAGGTGAACACACATTTAGATCTAGGGGAGTATTCAGAATGAATCTATTTCCCCAGCATTATTGATTTGCAGAACAGCTGCAGTAGTCACATAACTGTGATTTATTCCCTGTAGAGTGTTGAACAATTACAGAAGTGCATTTTGGTATGGAAATGCATGTTTATCTGTCATCCTAAACAAATAAAGATACCACGATGTTTTCAGTGATAGAATATAATATACTGAATTTCTTGTTGCCTTTTAAAAAGTATTATTCAGAACTTCAAAGCCGGTTTGATAGCAGATCAACACCTTTGTTTAACCAACACTGATCTATGTGGAGATCTTAAACATCCTCTCAAAGTTGGGGTTTTATTGGTTTAAACACATCACTTTTTAAAAAATAATCTGGTTAACTCATGTCACACAACAATGTTAAAACAAAACAACCACCACCCCCAAACCAAACTAAACCAAAACAAAACACCACCACCTGGTTAGTTTCTTCTGTTTTTGCCTCAGTAATCCATGTCACTGCAGTCCATTGCTTCTCCTTCACAGGCAGTTTTTTCCATTGGAAAATGTGGTCTCCTTTTTTCTATTAAGTTTTTTTTTTAAGTTTTTGGTTTTATAAAACCAACATAAATCAACAAATGAGACAGACAGACATACATCATACAAAACATGAAAACAAATTGGCCTGAAAGCAGCACAAGCATACCAGGTAGCAGGACTATGCAGATAGAGGGAAACGTAATACCTGGATTTACCCCCTCCTCAATATAAATTAATTCAACACAAAAACACATACACAAAATAAAATAAACCACTAGGATTTATTATATGTAGTCCCTTTTATATTGGAGCAAGTATATTTATCAGCAAAATATGGACAATAAATCCATCCACATTTCTGGAATATCATAAAGGAGGATATAATTTCTGTTTACAAACATACTGTGATGGTTGCAAAGTCTGAGTAATCATATCCTGGAATGGAATTTTCCACTGAATGCATCCGATGAAGTGAGCTGTAGCTCACGAAAGCTTATGCTCAAATAAATGTGTTAGTCTCTAAGGTGCCACAAGTACTCCTTTTCTTTTTGCGGATACAGACTAACACAGCTGCTACTCTGAAACATATCCTGGAAGTGACCATGTAGACCAACAATTTAAAAAAATTCAGTTAAGAAATTGGCTAATGATCTGTTGGAGATTTTTTACAAGTGAGCCACCAAGGACCCAAATCAGCAAGATAGTTAATCATAGGAGTAGTCCACTGGTTTTACCAGGACTTCTCATGTGCTTAAAGTTCAAAATGCTTAGTACCTTCCTGAGCTGGGGCCTTAATAAGGAAAAAAATTGTTTGACAGTGTTTAGCAAATTTAACATGTGGGGATTTTAAAAAGATCCCCATATCTTGTAGTCTCAAGAACCGTTAAACTTCCTGGAGCAATAATCAAGACAGCACACTTACTTATCAGAGGGAAAATGAGGCTAGGTCCAGAGACAGATTGATAGATGCTAAAGCAGAACATACTTGTGAGAGCTATTTTGTCTGTATAAAACCACAAGTAGATTTAAAGTATTGTAAAAATCACTAAGCATTTTTGAACTGTGACAGCAATGTGTGCGTCTAGTTCTGACCAAAAACATGGAGTAGATTTTGGAAACAATGCTTTCAAAATTGCTAGTTCAAGCTGCTGTTTATCAAGAGACATGAGAAACTGAAAACCTTCTCAATCTTTTTATAGTCTTATAAAAAAAAGTTAGCCATAAGCCCAAGTGCTTTTAAAAAGCAAATACAGCTTAAGAGCTATCCAGGGATCGGCAACTTTTGGCAGGCAGCCCGCCAGGGTAAGCCCCGTGCCGGGCCAGGCCAGTTTGTTTACCTGCCGCGTCTGCAAGTTTGGCCAAGTGCAGCTCCCACTGGCCGTGGTTCGACGCTCCAAGCCAATGGGGGCTGCGGGAAGTGGCGACCAGCACATCCCTCAGCCCATGCTGCTTCCTGCAGCCCTCATTAGCCTGGAGAGGCGAACCGCGGCCAGTGGGAGCTGAGATCAGCTGAACCTGTGGACGTGGCAGGTAAAAAAACCGGCCTGGCCTGATAGGGGGCTTACCCTGGCAGGCCACGTGCCAAAGTTTGCTGATCCTTGAGCTATGCCATACTACTGCCTGAAAAACACTTGACATTATCAAATATTTTATCATGAATGTTGTTACTGAACCAAGTTTAAACATGAGCTTGAGAGCGGTTTACATGCAACTGCCTAAGCAGAGTTAAGGATGGAAACGTCTTTCTCACAATTTTACAGCCACTGTAAAACCAATTTGTAAGAATAGCAGTCCTAAACCAGAATAAAGCACAATCCTTGTTTCAATTGCTTTGTTCTGAGTTACTCTCTCATACTGAAACTCAAACAAATTATTTAAAGTCTGGACCAAAAGTAAGTAACAAAATGTTAATGGGTATTTAGTATAAAGAAAAATGTTACGTTCACACAAAAGAAAATATAGGAGGGCAATTTACATTTATTATATTTTCTAAACAGTTGTATGGAAATGCATGCTGACAAGCGTCTGCAATGACATACCCCTTGTGTCTGTAGAGACAGAGGTGTGATACGCCGCTTTTCCCATTCATTGGGGCGTGGCTCAGGTGTGGATTCCATGAAATTGCGCTTGAGTTCACTAATGCTAGCCTGATGTTTCAGTAAGTTGTCCTGGGTCTTATCCAGGTCCTACCAATGTGCAATGTAAAAAACAGTAGGACAAAACACAACACCAAAAGCAAACTTATCCTGAAAAAAGTCAAAGCAAGAAAAGTACCTTGTGTCTCAAGAGCCATTCTACTGTGGTACATTTTTAAAAAAAGATTAAGACCATAAAAGACTCAGATTTGTATTACCTTTTAGGAACAAGGCCACACTATACTGTTCCTGTCACAACTGTATGTACAGGAAAAAAATAACTTTTTATGATCAGTAAACAGAGGACTATTTTTATCTCAATATGAAGACACTACATTTTTGCAATAATTATTTTCAAAGGTTGCTGGCTTTTACTTGAAAGTTAAAGAAATTGAAGCAAGAATACCAAGATCAACATAGGTAACCCTCAATAATGCTAATGGACGTAAGTAGTGCTCAGCACAAGAATGGTCATAGACATGTAAGTATGTTTCTTAATAAGAAACTTTAAGCCAAAAATAAAGTACTTATAAATACAGATATTGTATTAAGTCCAAATCATGCAAACGGCTATGCATATGCTTCAACTTTACACACACGAATAGTCCCATTAAAGTCAAGGGGCTACTCATTGCTTATAAAGTTAAGCAGGAACATAATTATGTGCAGGATCAGGGTTTAAGATTGCTAATAACCTGCTGTGTATTGAAGGGTGGGATGGCAGATGGAACCACCATGGAGAGATAAGCCTGCGCACATCTACATACCAAAAAGGGTCTCTGAGCTAGCCCATGCAGATTAGCACAGGAGGGGACAATGAGCAATAAATAAGTAACAAATTTCATTTTTACAAGGATCCATTGACCCTAACATTGTGCAACTTGGATCAAAGGGCTATAGCTGCTCTTCCAGGCTACAAGATAGAGGAACAGGCATGGGGATTGGGACTATGCTGCAACCTCCTCAATAGCCCTTGTTTGGGAAGTAGATTTCAGCTCCCCAACATTTCTGAAACTTCACACTTAGGCTTTATGCAGGAGGAGTAAATTACACACTGCAAGCATAATCTTTCACTTCATACCATTCCTCATCTTGTGAAAAAACTACGCTGTGTATACAAACACAGACATCAGAGTAGGTGACTTTACAAGAGGTACAGTGCAACCGCCAGCGATTAAGTTTAGAATTGAGACCCCAAAATAAGTGTACTATGAAATCAAAGTACCTACAGTAACTAAGAAAAGTATTTGGACTTTTCATAATATTTAATAATTTAGGCCCAAGATTTAGTTTTCATAAAAAGAGGCTACATACAAAACGTGTCTGAATTTTTATTAAAACATTTTGGCTACGATTTTAAAGTGTTCCTCTGCAGTAACAGGGGGTAACCATGTAACTCTGTATCCACAAAAACAATGAGGAGTCTGGTGGCACCTTAACAACTAACAGATTTATTTGGGCATAAGCTTTCGTGGATAAAAACCCCACTTCTTCAGATGCATGGAGTGAAAATTACAGAAACAGGCATAAATATATATTGTCACAAAGAGAAGGAAGTTACCCTTTTTTCTATAATTTTCACCCCATGCATCTGAAGAACTGGGGTTTTTACCCACAAAAGTTTATGCCCAAATAAATCTGTTAGTCTTCAAGGTGCCACCAGACTCCTTGTTGTTCCTCTGCAGTGTTACAACATAAACAACACAGAACTGTACTAGTGCATGAAAATCAGAAAGTGATACTGACTAATCAGCTTCTACTTCATTTCATTGTCAATTCTGAAGTAAACCTGTAAAAAATAAATTTTAAAAAAATTTAAAAATTTAAAAATTTTAAAAATTTAGGCCTGGATCCTGGACGCATGTGCTTAACTTTACACACTATAAATAGCCCCACGGAAGTCCATAGGTCCACTCACCATCCGCAAGTCTTTGCGGGACCAGGGCCTAAGTTTTCATCTAAAATTAATTTTTTAGTACAAATACAACCTTTAAATATCTATTTTGAGATTTTTTAAAAAGCTGTTTGATTTAAACAAAATTAAGTTTTCTTAATTATTGGTGGAATATAAAAAACAGGTTATACCATAGCAATTCCATAGAACTGCAGTGATATTAAACAACTGAAGCCAATGACATATTTTAATGGGTTGTTGTAAACAATTATTGTGGCTTGAGAGACCAGGCACATTTCTTGGACTTGTTCAAAGCAAGATTATGAAGAACATGCTTTCATTGTTTTAGTAAATTATGCAAAAGTAAATTTTGAACAGTTATCAAAAGCTGCCAAAAGCAACAACAGATTAGTCAAGTTACTGTAATCTACAAATCTGCATATTACTGTATAAATACAACAGTCATTAAATAAGAGATAAGCTCTTTTGTGACAGAGGGAATTCCTGATAGCCCCATTTTACGGGCAAGGCTAAATAGACATCGGATAGGATTTTTCTATATATTTTGTGCACGTTTTGTTAGTTTACTTTCAGTTATTCATCACCATACAAACGACACTGACTGCAACAAGAGGTACTGCCATACTAAATTCCACTTTAATGAACTGTAAAACTATTTATTTAAAACAAAATGTCTCTACTCCAATAATAAATAATAACAGTACTTAAATAGTACTCCAGATTCAAAGCCATTTACAAACATTAATCCTCACTAAGAATTAATTCTTTAGGAAATAAGAATTATTCACATTTCAAAAAAGGGAATACAAAAACAGGAACACTAAGTGATTTGCCTAAAGCCACACAGCAGGTCACTGGCAGAGCCAGGATTAGAAATTCAAGATTATGGGACTTCTAACAGCGAGGGTAGTTAAGCACTGGAACATTTTACCCTGGGTTCTGGTGGATTCTCTATCATGGACAATTTTTAAATCAAGCATCAAATATTTTTCTAAAAGATATAATCTAGGAATTATGTTGGGGAGGTTCCATGGCAGGTCTTATATAGGAAGTCAGACTAGTTGATCACAATGTTCCCATCTGGCCTTGGAATCTATGAACCTATGCTTATTCCTCCAGAGCACACCAGCTCACATTTCAAGTATACATGTGTCAGAAAATAAAATGAAAAATATTAAGTGAGAGCCTTAAACTACAGCTTACATGGGGTACCCATTAAGTAGTAGGTTTGTGTGGCAAGTAAAAATTCCATTTTATGGTAATTAACAGACCAATGAATTTGATTTATTACCTAAACAGGGCTATTATTCCCAGTTGCCACTTTGAAAACTTCTAGTAGATTCACGCTTACAAGCTGTTCCTTTATGGAAAAACTAGAATTTACAACATGCATCTCCAAGTTGCATTTCCCCATGCATTTCATGCACTGTGTCCTTAACAGCCTGCAAGTGACCTCCCAACCCATGCAGCCTGGCAGCCCATGGAAACAGAAAGTGTTCCTTATGTTATACAAACCTCCAACATTAAATTGCTATGTCTGACATAAATATTTTCCCCGTTTACTCTCAAGGAATTGTTCTGTGAAATTAAACCACACACACACACACAAAAGAAAGCAAAATGAACATAAAATGTATCAGCAAGTAACCAAAAAGGACCCTCAGATCGATAACCGACTTTAAAAAATAAACAGGGGGATAAATGATAAGAACAAAAGTCACTATTCAGACAAAACCTACAGAAGCTTTGAAACACTAAATGGCAGGCAACAACCAGATTTAACTGAAAAATAGCATCCACCTGCTGCTGCGTTTCTTCCTCTCCGGTCTCCACCTACATGAAGGCACATGGCAAATCATTAAAAAGAAAGGAGTTGTTAGTGTGATCTACGGGGGCAACAGAGGGGCTTCCTTTATTTGTAAAAGCTGCAAACCACATGCTATGTTTATATACCTTTATTGTTTCGGCCACAGATGCTGCTGAAATTATTAAGTCTCTTTGGTCTTCCTCCAGCTACAGTGTTGTAGAAATGGCTGAAGTAATATGTGAAATGGAAAATGAAAGTTTCTCTCTCTCTCTCCCCCCACATCTCTGTTCCTGCATTTTTCATGCTTTCCCCATTGATGGGTGGAAAATTAAGATAGAAGAGAAGGAGAAAAGCCATATTGCCCCAAATCTTAATGTCAAATTAAACTATAGAGGAACTTTATAAAAGCATTTAAAGTGGAGTTTATACTATGAATTGGTTTTGGTAAAATGGCAAATGATTACTGTAAATGCCTGATAATGTGTGGTATACATGTAGATTTTTGCTTTTTTTAATGCAAAATATGAGAACTTAAAAAATTTACACCCTACTTATAAGTATTCTGAATGCAACTTTAAGGAGAGAAATTATTTTCTGAAAATAGCCTGAGGTACAAACATCAATTGCCAGGTTTTCAAAGGATCACTGTGCAAGATCGCAAGTATTGGATAAGGGGTTTACTTTTATTACATATATTGCTTAATTCCAAATTTTGTGTGAGGGAGTACATCACATTGTATGTCATTTTTTCCTTAGTTTATCACATTTTCCTTCAACTTCCACTTATTTGAGGTTAGTGCACTCGTTGCAATTTCACATCAAAAAGTATGTTGAACCATATTATGGACGGAGAAAATCTTTAGTAACGTTTATTTACACCATTTTAGACTTCTTTTACTATATGTATGTCTTTTTCAGATGTCATGTCACATATCTAAGAGAAATTACTCTGCTGTATACAACACTGTCTCAGAGTTATTTATTACTACAAAATTTGAAATAAATGCTGTGCTCACTCTTTTCAAGGCTCTCAGTTATAAGGCTATAGTATTTTGCTTCATATTACCAGTGAAGTTCATAGTAAACTCCCCCCTTTTACAGTGCATGGTGTATTTGCTATGACATGCAGCAGCAAGCATATGGAGAGCAGCACTTTATCATCAGCCAGATAAGTGTGTGCACTCTGAACATCTGAATGAGACTGATGCTTTTGCATAGCAACTTTAAAATTACATACTTTAACATTTCTCAAATTTTCACATGTTGATGATTAAAGTCAGCTACTTAATCAGCAATCCAGTTGAATAAAATAAACTATTCTTCACCTTAACTATTGCTAAATATGACTAAACATGCTAAAAGCCAGGGAGAACCTTGGGCAGACACTCAACTTTGCACACACCCATGTAAAGCAGAAACAGTCATAATTCTAGTGCCCTCTTTGAAGACAGGATTTACAAAAAAAAAAAAGGAAATGTTACTCACCCCTGTGCAGTAACTGTAGTTCTTTGAGATGTGTCCCCATATGGGTGCTCCACTTCAGGTGCTCATGTGCCTCAAGCCCTTGATTGGTGATTTCTAGCTAGCACTGTCCATTTAACTCACGTGTATGCCCTATGCCGGGAGTCTCCCAACTGCGGCAGTGCTCCTTCAGCGGTGCTCCTCATGCCGCGCAATGGCTATTAGCCAGGATGGGCACGGATGTTGTCCCTTGCCTCTGTTTGCCAGAAGTTGGGACTGGGCGACAGCAGATGGATCACTTGATGATTATCTTTTCTGTTTGTTCCCTCTGGGGCACCTGGCATTGACCACTGTTGGAAGACAGGATACTGGGCTAGATGGACTTTTGGTCTGACCCAGTATGGCCGTTCTTATGTGTCGCATCGGATCTGATGGCACAGAGCAGGGAATAATGCTTTGAAAACATATGGATTGAAGTTAACGTAGCAGCTCTACAAATCTCATATACTGGGATATTCTTCAAAAATATAGTAGATGTTGCCTGCAATCTGGCTGAATACACTCACCCCGTGTGTGTGTGCGCGCGCGCGCGTGGGCGAAGGGGGGGCGTGTTGCTGAGAACCTGAAGATTCATAACAGGCAGAGATACAACTCAATATCCATTCTGAAAGCCTGTAAGCAGAAATAGGAGCCCCCTTAGACCTATCTGAGAAGGATATGAAGAGTCTAGGTGATTTCATAAACTGCTTAGTCATCCCTATGCAGAAGGCCAAGGCCCTTCTAATTCCAGGGTATGGAAATAGGATTCCTGTTGAGAACTAGGAGATTTTGGAAAAAAAACACTGGCAGATGGATATATTGGTTAAGATGACAGATAATCTGATGCAACTTTTGGGAGGAATTTAGGATGCGGATGTAAAGACATCTTCTCATTAAAAAAACACATGATAAAGAGGGTATCTGCCATCAAGGCTACAATCTCCCTGACCCTATGGGCCAACATGATGGCAACTAAGAGGGCCATCTTTGCAGATAAAAGAAGAGAACAGGTTGCCATTGGTTCGAATGTAGGTCTCCTGAAGTGGTTGAGAACCAGGATGAGGTCCCAAGACAGGATATGGGATGTCTAGTGTGTGGGAAAAGATTGGCCAGACTCTTAATCTGTATGATACCAGGTTAGCAAAAATGGAGAATCCCTCAACAGCGGGAAGAAAGGCTGATGTGATGGCCAGGTATATCTTGACTGAACTGATGGATACCCTGGATGTTTTCAGATCTGGCAGGTAATCTAGAATAGGGAACTGATTCCAGCTGGAGGTAGCAAAGACCACACCACTGGATGAATCTCTTCCATTTCTGCAGATAGAAAAAACATCAATCCAAACTATCTATTGTTTAATAACACCTGCTGTACCTTCGTAGAGTAGGAAACATCTATTCCTGAGAACCATGCATGAGCCACACCCTGAGGTGCAGAACTGCCAGACAGGGGTGGAGCACGGAACTCCCCACCTTGAGACAGGAGATGAGGAATGGTTGGGAGCTTGATTGATGGTTAGACAAAGAGCTGAAGCAGGTCTCTGTCAAGTCGGTACTACGAGTATAACTCTGGCCTTGTGCTGCTTGATCTCGTTCAGCACCCTTAGAATTAGGGACATTGGGGAAAAGGCATAGAACCGACACTTCTTCCCTGGTAGAAGGAAGGTGTCCCCCAGGGAGCGGTGATCCAGCTCCCCTGCCTTGACCCTTTCTCTGGAATATGCTATGGAGAACTTGAGCATCCAGCTCCCTTTCGTAATCCTGGGAGAAGTGTCTGCTGAGGGCATTGCTATGGTGTTCCAGATGCCTAGCAAGCAGGCTGCTGAAACCTCGATATGGGTGGTTATGCACCAGTTCCAGAGTTTTATAACTTCACTGCACAAGGAGGTGTATCTTGCTCCTCCCTGCTTGTTGATGTAAAACATGCAGGACATGTCCGTCATGACCCTCATCGTTTTTGCTTCTGATGATGGCAGGAAATAGAGACAAGTGTTCCTGACCACCCTGAGCTCCAACAGGTTGATGGAGATTTGTTTCATGGACTGTCCACCTACCCTGAACTGTGAGGTTGTTGAAGTTGGCTCCCCAACAGGAATCTTAACATGGATGACCTGGTTGTTAGAGTCACTGATGGGGTTGGGTGACAAAGGGATGCCTACACAGGTTGCTCTTTCCACCAGTTTAGAGAGTTCTTTATGTGCAAGGAGATTGTTACCCTCCTGTCCAAGATGTACCTGGTTGGAGAAGAGGCAGCTCTTAGCCAACCCTGGAAGCAATGGAAGCATAACCTTGCATGATTGGTCACAAGGTGAAAGTTGCCATATGGCCCAAGAGTTGACAACAGTTCCTTATTGTGGTTGTGATCTTCCCTGAATTGTCCCTGACAGTCTTGACATGGCCAGACATCTGTAAAGACCAGTACGCTTTTGCTGTCACTGAGTCCAAGAACACCCCTATAATCTGTATCCTTTGTACTGGTACTAGTGTGGATTTCTTTATATTCAGTTGTAGGCCCAACTCTTTGAACAGAGCAAGCACCTTCTGGGTGGACGATAACTCTGCCTTGAAAGAATGGCCCTTGAGTAGCCAGTCATCAAGGTATGGGATGACAAGAATCAATTCCTGACAAGGGTAAGCCACCACTATCACCAGAACCTTTGAAAACCCCATTGGAGCTGAGGGTAGGCCGAAGGGATGCACTCCATACTGGAAATGATCTTGGACCACAGTGAATCGTAGGTATTTCCTGTGCGACAGAGGTGACACACTTCGGGGAAGGGGGGGAATACTGGGTATACAGGGTCACATCCCTCTCCTCCTCTCCCCCCCCCCCCCGATTTGCTGCTTGGCTTGTACTGAGCATGCTCACATGGACTAAGCATGCTCAGTAGCACTGCTGAAGCCAGCTGCCCTCACTCTGCCCCCTCCCCCCATTAGCAGGCATGGGTCATCTCTGCTGTGTGATTAGCGTATAGTTATATGGAGGTAGGCATCTTATTGGCCAAGGGATGAAAACCAATCCCCTTCCTCTAGTGAAGGATTGCTGGAGTCAACACCCTGAACTTTTGTCACAAAGTTGTTCAGCTGTCTCAGATCTAAGATCGGCCTCCAACTTCCATCCTTCTTTGGTACTAGGAAGTATTTTGAGTAGAACTCCCTGCCCCTGTAAGGGAAGGGACCACTTCCATTGCTCCTAGTCCGAAGAGAATCTCCACCTCTTGCCTTAGTAGAAGTTGTGAGAGGGGTCCCTGAAGAGGGTGGAAGGGAAGGAGTGCCAGAAACTGCATAGCATAGCGTATGACCTCCAAGAGCCACTGGTGATTCGCTCCAAAGCCTGGTGGAAATGGACAAGACAGTCTCCAAAGAGAAGGTTAAAGGACACAACTGTAAAATCAGAGAAGTGGGAGGATTCGAACTCTCAACCAACTCATCAAAACTACTATTTAGATTATGCTTGAGTGGTGATGAAGGGTGGTTGGGTGGCCCTTTTCCTCTGAAACCTGTCTATTCCTGGGGAGTTCTGCAGGTCTGTGGTACCCCAAGAACTGAGCATAGCATGATGTCTGAGCAATTTGTGCCCTATTAAAACGTTTCTTGCTCATAACGTATGTAAATGCCCAAGGAACAAAGGGTAACCCTGGATTTCTTCAGCGTGTGCAGGGAGTTATTTGTGGTGTCTGAGAAGAGCTTATAAACATCAAAGGTGAGATCCCCTACAATGTTCTGAACCTCTATCAGAAACCCTGAAAGTTGGAGTCATGATGTCCTGTGCACAGCTACTGCTAAGGAGATGGATCTGGCAGCAGTGTCTGAGAGTCTAGGGACTCTTGGAGAGCTGTTCTGGCCAATAGTTCACTCTCTACAACTATGGACTGGAATTCCTCCCTGCAGTTGTGTGGCAGATACTCAATAAATGCTGTGAACGTCTTGTAATTAGTAACGTTGTATTTGGCCATGACTGAGTTAGGTGGGGGACAGGAAAATAAAAGTCTGAATCCTTCAGGGGAAAATAGTATTTCCTATCTGCCTTTTTGCACATTGGTGAAACAGCGTCTGCCATACCATTTTAGCTGGAACCAGTAGAGCCTCATTAACAGGTAGTGCTGATCTGGAGAGTGTTGCTGACTGCAAAATATCTAGCAGCTTGTGCTGTGGATTTTTGACCTCCTCCAGAGGGATCTGGAAGCTGTCAACTACCCTTTTAATTAAGTCCTGAAATTGTCTGACGTCAGCCAGGGAAGGTGGTGGAGACACAACTGCTTCATTTGGCGATGACAGTGAAATGGGAATCTCAGGGGTAACTTCCTCATTTGCCCTAGCCTCCTACTCTTCAAACATCTCCTCCTGTCATAAATGGGTAGAGGACAACACTAAATCCTGGTCTCCCTGAGAGAAGGTATTGGTGGACTGATAAATTGCTGGTGATAGGCAGGCCACACATCAAAATATGGCCACTGCAGGGATCTATAAGGAATGAGGGTGGCATACAAGGTTGGTTCCACCATCCTTGGTGTCACACAAGGTCCACTCTGTGCACAGGCGGTTTCCCAAAGGAGTACATAAGAACTCCTGGGAGAAACTGAGGATACAGATTGGGGGGAGTCATCCTCTGCATCCTCCCATGGGGGACAGCCAATGTAGTTGGAGGAGAGTCCTGTGACACAGAAAGGCCACACAAAGACTGAGGTCTCTGAGACACACTCGGTACCAGACAACAAAAGGGATTCTGGTTTGTCCACTGAGAGGTCCCTCAGGTATCAGAACGCCTATGGTACTGGATGCCATAGCTGGAGGTGACAGCGTCAACAGTGATGGGTGAACTCAGATGTTGTAGATGTCAGGCACTGACGCTTGCTCGGTACAGAGGGTACCGCTTGTATAGCCACCCCCTGCTGAGCTGTTTGCATTGGTACCAATGGCTGGATTAAGATGCACAACACCAGAAGCTCATTAGAATGCTTTGGTGCCGATGGCTTACCATCCTTGTGGAGGGTACAGGTGCCCTAACAGAGCTGTGCCTCCTGTCCTTAGAGCTCCAAGACTTGGCAGTACCCAAGAAAGAGTCCTTGGCCTCAACAGTAACATTGGACACTGAAGACCTTGACAGGGACAGTCTTGACAGTCTTTTTTGAAGCTGGTTCATTAGAGATAAAGTCTGCGCTTCCCTTTTTGGGAGTCTTTCCAGCATCCAAAGATTTCCCTTCCTTAGGGGAAGCAGGCTCTGAAGCTGATGGGGTACTGGATCTCTCTGGGGACAGATGTACGGGCAGGTGGGGGTGTGTCTCCTGACCTGGCTTACAGAGCAGTTGCCTGGAATGTTCCATAGCCAACGGTCTGAGTTCTATCTCCCTGTTCTTCCAAGCCCTGGACTTCAGGGCCAAACAGAAGGAACACTTCTGAGAGATGTGGGACTCCCCCAGGCAACGGATGCACATGGAATGCCTGCTGTTTACCACTTTAGCCTCCCAGTAAGAGTGGTAATGTTTGAAGCATGACAAACCAGGCGTACCCCGCCAGGAGAAGACAAATGTCCCGGGATAAAAGGGAGGGAAAAAACAAACAGTCTTCTCAGCTAAAACTAACTAACTATACTGAACTCTAAACAGAAACCTACAACTATAAAGTAACTAACTTTAAGAGAAAAGTCCAAGAATGCTGTAGGAGGACAATGTTCTGTCTCGGGCCAAGGCAGTAGAGGAGAAACTAAGGGCTATTCGTCTGTGCACCCCTATATAGCAGGGTGTCTCCCATGAAAAGGCATAGGGCACATGCATGGGCTGACTGGACAGTGCTAGCTAGAAATCTATGATCCAGGGATCAAGAGGCATATGCGCACCACCTGAAGGGGAGCATCCACAGGGATACTATTATAAGAAAGAACACTGTTTACAGCTTTCACAGTTTGCTGAACTAAAATAAGAGACAGACTTTTAGAGATTTTTACTTTACAGATTTAAACAGAACCTCTAAGATTCAGCTCCATGTCTGCATTTCAAAGTTAATGGACTGAGAAGGGCAATAGGTTAGGACTGATTTAACGATTAGTCTAACAGAGGAATGTTGCTCAACAATTTTACTGATTATTTAATCTTATTCCAAAATATGTCTAATAAATAACAACAACAACAAGGTGCTCTAATCTTTTCAACTACAAAATAATTTCCTCCTTAGATACAGCACCCAGGGGATACAATCAAATTATGTATGTTGCAACACACTGTTATTCATGCAGAAAAAAACCAGACATTTATTTATTAAGAGAAACTCAGTATATCAGTGGCAAGTTACCATTAATGAGAACAGTTACAAAGACATTTATATTGTACACTAGGATGTGTGCAAGGTTGAGTGCTTCTCAGTGTGCAGATGCAAAGTCCAAGTGCAGATGGCAGCATTTAAGTGACAAAGTTACACACCTCCTCTTCCTCTGCTTTGTCATTCAGGTCATTGTCATAAGAGGCGCTCAATGAAGTCGCCTTAGGCTCCAGGTAGCAGAGGGACAGAGCGAGAGGAAGGGAAAATGTGAGCGAGAAAGGAACAGATTGAAAAGCAGAGAGAAGCAGCACAAAGATAAGGAGAAAAGAGGGAATGAATGAGGGAGAGGTGATAGGAACATAGTGTTGAAGGCCAGGTGGGAGATAGGAGATGCAAACCTCAGGGAGGCTAGGAAAACTGATGTAACCATCCTCATCAAGCAGTGAAAGGAAACTAAAAGCGAAGAGTTTGCTAAAGCTTAATGAAAACCTAAACTCAGTATCTTTGTAGTCAACTGTTTTATGGGGCTTTCCCTCTATTGCAGGAGAAGAAGGGTGACTAACTGGGAGTCTCATAGGCTCCAAGATATTATTAGGCAATGTCACTTCATTTCCACTGTGAGTTGGTATTACTCTCGTGGGACTGCACTCCCAGCAGTCCGAAGGGCTATGGACATAGTCCCAAAAGGGATCTTCCTCTGAAATGTCCAAAAGCATGTCCATCTCAGGGACAGTTGGCAGGTTTGTGGGACAGGATGAAACACAGTGAAGGCGTGGTGATGGTGGATACATGTGAAGGGACTGAAAAAAAAAAGTCCAGCCACAGTTGAATATGAAAACACAACAAAATGTAAGTTTGTAGGCAGAAAGAATGCACAAGAAGAGGGGGGAAAAAAGAAATTGTTAGTTAGTGAAACCTTTTACTCAGAAGTAGAGCTAGCACTACCAATGCAATATAAAAGCCAAATAAAAATTGAAAAGCCCCATGTATTTTTAAAATTAGCCCACTTGTCCAGTTTTAAGAATTCTGAATCTGAATTCACTACAGATTTTTTTGTTTTAAAGTTGTGACAAACTTTGCACTTTTGAACGGTAGTAAGTGCAGTCACTTACTACAGATGGGAGCAAACATTCAAAGCTTTGGCAGAAAGTTCATGGTATACAGCAGGACGTAACGAGACAAGCAGGCACTTTGATCCTAGGATTTACTACCATTTCCTCTGGAATTTAAAAACAGCAAAAATAGAAAATGCTGTTTGCAGAGCTGGTACATGTAGCAAGCTACACCGAATAGCTTCATAAAACATGCAAGCCCTTCCCAAACCATTTAGCTTTTCCATCCCATGGCTGAGGAATTTTTCTTGGTTACCTAATCTATCCTAGGGTGCCCCAGCTTTGTGATTCTGAGGGACCACACTGGCATCTTGCCAGGAACCAAAATTTGCATCTTAATTTACCTAAATACATGTTTTCATCAAATATAGAACTGTGTGTGTCTTCCTTGATTGACTAGAAGTTAGTTGTTTAAGTTTTTTGGCAATAAAAACATGAGGCTGTTCATATTTGGTCTCACATGGCAGTTATAGGATGAGGTGGGCTGGGCTGTCAGCTGCATTGGGAGAATCAGCAGCCCAAATGTTGTCCCCTGGGCAGTGAATTGGGTACCCTTTGCCTAACTCACAAAAATGCAGTTTTCAAAATGAAAATTCCTTAAGGTTTGTTTTTAAAACCCAATAGCAAGGAAAATTCCTGGATGTCTCCCAGGAAAAACAGGAATACATGTCAGAGAAGATACACAGACTATTACGTCTGAACTCCAAAGCTTGAGCTTACATTTAGGAAAGAGGTGTTGCCTCAAATCTTGATGTGAAAGCACATAAAACTAATCCAAATTAAAGTTTATGATCTGCTTCCTTGCTAACTCCAATAAATAAGACAAGTAAATTGCCACTTGCATTAGAATTTCTCCATCATCAACAAACCGAACTTTCCCTGGAAAGCTGTCTTTCAGTTCTACTTGGAAATTATTTTAATAAGTCAATGTGTTTCTATAACAGATACTGACGTATAAAAGGACAGCTTAAAAGATTTTTGCAGTTGGCAAATAAAGCAAGCACTATGTTAAGCACTGAAATTTACTCAAAAAAGAAAATATATACAACCAAACAACAGGTTGTGTATGACAGCACAATTTTTGGAAGTTTGTTCAGAGTAAAAATTGTATAAACTAACTTACTTTGAGCCACATTTAGCTAAGAGAAAGTTCAGTTTGAACAATTATATACCGCAAGTGTTTAAGTAGTGCCTAATTATGACAAATTAAAATTAACTTGTAGCAATAATTAAAAGGAAAAAATTCACAAGATTGAATGTCACACATGCAAATTTGCAATTTGTTCCTTCCTTTTGGTTATATAAAATACTCTGTGTGTATATATATGGTTAAACAGAGTAGTTTGAAATAATTTATTAACAATATCTTCTAGTATGTTGCTTGTTATTTTTAAGAGACATACAACTCCACTTTAAATGTTTGTTAAGAGTTGTTTTTGTTGTTACAATCCATCATACCTTTTCATCCTGGGTTAATTCCAGTTGTGGAATTTTAGTTGGGCTTCCATCCTCATCTCTACCTTCGCCGTTTTTTAACTTGGTCTGGCCAACAGCTTCACCAGCAAAGACCATATCACCAGCAGGTCCCACTGTGGCAGCAGAAAAGTCCCTTAGCAGACTTTGGTCTGTGATACCCACAGGAGCTATTAGAGAACCGAAAATTTTGGTTATTCTGGGTATGCTGGAAGTTTTATTTTTGGGACTTCTGAACATAAAATACTCTGTTTTACAATGGCTTAGCCATTCAGGGATAAGAATAATGCAGGGGAAAACTGCGAACGGAACAGTAAATGAAGTTATGATAACATCCCAAGTGTATGGTTCTAACTGCATTTATACAACCTGCAATGGATAACTGTTCTTAATTGTGATGTGTATGTACTATACAGAGAAAACACTATAGTCAAGTAGCCATTTTAAAAATCACCACATTTCTGGTGACAACAGAAACCACAAGAACAAAGAACATGTAGGCTGCACATATCATCATATCCCCATGATAAAAACCATCTTGCACAAATTTGATATTTTCAGTACATTCTGTTTTCAGCTAATACAGCAGCTAATACACCATGCATATATAAATCTCTCAAAGTATTTCTACTTCTGAACCCAGACATCAGGCACTGTAGAAACACACAAAGTTCAATATAAAAAAGCTACACTTTTTCAAGATTCTCTCTGCATCCAGGGAGAAACTTGAGTTGTTTTTTCTTTTATTCAGCTTGGTTTACCCATCCCTGTTAGCTAATTATTGGCAATACCTAATATGTATATTTGATGTATCATGTAACACAAAAGACAGATTTCAGAGTAGCAGCCGTGTTAGTCTGTATTTGCAAAAAGAAAAGGAGTACTTGGGGCACCTTAGAGACTAAACACATTTGAGCATAAGCTTTCGTGAACTACAGCTCACTTCAATTGCATGCATGAATACAAAAGACAGATATTGAATCAATTTTATTCTGACAGCTAGAATCACTATAATAGTATTAACCAGCAGGAGGAGCTCTAAGACCAGCTGGCTCAGCCAAAACACTGGCAATAATGCAGCAGACATTCAACCTGAAATTAAAAATGTTTAAATAAGTTACGGTGACCATACAGCAAGTGTGAAAAATCAGGACTGGGTGAGGGATAATAGGTGCCTATATAAAACAAAGCCCCAAACATTGGGATCCTCCCTACAAAATCGGTATATCTGGTCACCCTAAAATAAGTACACCTTTGAGAAGAGATGCAAGAAGCAGTGAAAAGTGGGCAGAAGAATAAATATACATGAGTGAAGAATTCTGACAGGATTACACAAGTCAAGAAAGCTAACAGAAATGGTAGGTGTGACAGAGTAGGAAATTTTTATAATATTTTGTATGACTATTGTGCATGCCTCAGTTTCCCTTGCGTGAGGCCTGGTTAACTAGGTGGTGGGAAAAAGTTGTTTTTCTTTGTAGAGATGCAGAGATACAAGTTTGACTGACTCCTAGCGGCCTGTGGCGTGCGCCCCCATGACCATGGAGAGTCTGAGAAGACAATGGCCACTCCAATTGCCCAGACATTTGGCACCTAGCAATTAATGACAATGGATGATCCACCCTACTTAGGAAGCCAGCCAGGTTTGACCAGCTGGAAAAGGGTTGCGGAGGGCATGGTGACAATGTTTGCCTGGGAACAAGAACAAAGGACTGAGGAGGGGCCAGGTGGGGGTGTTAAGTGTTGGCTGCTGGAAGAGGATGCTCCAGGACTGGGACTAACAAGGGGTCAGATGGCTCTGGGACAGACCAAGATTGATTATGCTGTCTATGTTAACCAAGGACTTTCTACCCTGCGTTCCAGACTGCTAATAAACCCTTCTGCTTTTACAACGATGGCTGAGAGTCACTGCAGGTTAAGATGGGAGAGTGCATTGCTCCCTTTGGGTGTACTCATGTGGACTCGCTGGAGGGAGCTCATGGTGTGAAGAAAGGGTGCTGAATGCGCCAAGGTTTGATCTAAGGAGTCAGTGAAGCCAACTGACTTATTCTAGTGAGATGTGACCCTAAAGTGGGTCTGGCACACTGAAGGGGTCCTCCCAGGGACTGTTTCAGAGCATTGGACCTGTATAACCATGACAGTAGCACACCACAGAGAGATGCCCACAGGAACTTGAAAGCAGAAGAAGCAGCTGTATGGGTATGGATGAATCACTTTAATATTACAATAATCTACAAAGATAACCACACTTTTACTGGGAAAAAATAGAATCTAATTACCCTAGAAGATGATGGTAAACTATTAAAATCTCATATCTGGGGCAGTATGAGCAGATATGGAATTGACACTGTACCAAGAACAATATCTATATGTAAACATCTGATTTTAAACATTTGTTTGGCTCGAAGTTGCAAAATAATTACTCAAGAAAGTTTTACTGACTTAGTGTAAACCAAGAGAATGCCTTGGAGTGTACATTACAAGGGGAGATTGTCAAAGGCACAAATATCAGTTAGGTGCCTAATTTCCCATTGAAAGTCAGTGAGAATTTAAACTCCTTATTTTATCAGGTCCCTGGGAAAGTGATTTATGCCTGTGCTCTTTTGCAGAGCAACGCTGTGACCTACACCTCTCAGAAGCCAGTCACAAAGACTTGAGAGCAGGAATAGCAGAAAGCGTCTTTTACAAAGAAGATGCTTGGGAGTTTACAGCAGAGTCAGAGCTCACTGTTACCCACAGTTTTCAGAACCCAAACCTGTGGTAACTTAACTGTTTCACTCCAGGCGATGTCAGGTTTAAATCAATGGGAACACAGCACTTCCTACTGATGAAAGATTGGTACAAGCAAGCATGATCTTATCTAAAACTACTATTGATTAGATTTAAGCACACACAGATGTAAACAATAGGTTTAGAACATCCAATAAATACCTAAAATCTGAGATGGTATTGAGTAATTAGTAGCAGGCCAGCGATGGGGGGGAGAGATAGGTCAGTGCTTTGAGCATTGGCCTGCTAAACCCAGGGTTGGGAGTTCAATCCTTGAGGGGGCCATTTAGAAATCTGGGGCAAAAACTGGGGATTGGTCCTGCTTTAAGCAGGGGGTTAGACTAGATGATCTCCTGAGGTCCCTTCCAACCCTGATATTCTATGATGGCTGATCGCTTCCCGGCTGTGGCGTACGGGGTCAGAAAAAAAGTCTCTCAGGAAAGCTTAAGAGAACTGCTCCAAAGCACTATTATCTAGTCTTTTTATAACTATTTTTTACAAAACACAGCTCATACTGACCCCTAGTGGGTCATCACTTCTCCTAACTTCAATCAACAAAACACTTTAACAATCTTAGCCATAATAAGCTTCTACATCAAAAGGCACCCAAACTCAAGGTCTCCATGCACTTTTCTTTCAATCTCATAATTTGCTGACTTTTCTCCCCTCCTTCCATTCTCATTAGCAGAAACTGCAAGCCTGCAGCTACTATTTGACCTTGCCTCCAAAAGCCTAGCTTGTCCAAATTAACCCTTAACTATGTGGTGTTCTTTTTATTAATTCATGATGGCTGAATGCACACAATATGGTTGCAATTAGCTTGATTAAGTTCTATGGTACACACCCCTCAATTCTGGAGTAATACTCACCAGAGAACTCTTGGAAGAAGACTACTCTATTCTGAGAGGGTCCTTAGTGCCTGGATCAAAATGATATCTCATGGACTGGTTTTATATGAAAAGTTTCAGGCGAGTGTCCCTTGCCTTCGGAGTAGCTCACGAAATCTCATGCTCAAATAAATTGGTTAGTCTCTAAGGTGCCAAAAGTACTCCTTTTCTTTTTGCGAATACAGACTAACACGGCTGTTACTCTGAAACCGGTTACAAGATAGGTTGTTTTCATAGACGAGTATAGAAGGGAGCAAGTAGCCAGAGGTTCAAAGTGGGGGAGGGGGCCTTGTATGGAATCTGAGCACCAAGTTGAGATCCCATGCCAGTGTAGGGTATCTGACTTCTGGGAAGCGGTTCTCCAGTCCCTGGAGAAACCTCCTTGTTGTAGGCTCCCCAGCCCAAAAGGTATGCATCTGTTGTTATTACTGATGTTGGAGATGGTTGAGCAAAGGAGACCCCTGCACAAACACTGCGAGGGTCCTTACACCAGTCGAGGGAGTTTTTCATGACTCAAGGCACCAAGACTAGTTTGTTCAAACTGTTCAAAACTTTAACAATTACTTTAACTTTTAACAATTACAAATCTTCCCTCCATGTCTGTGTCAGTTGATAGGATTTGTGTGCTCAGTTTTTTATGGAACAGGATTGACACCTCCACTCTTAGACTTGGCTGAGTAATTACTACAAATATTGTCACCAATCCAGTCTTTAAGCTTTTCAGCCTCAGACTCAATGCAGTGTGCTTCATGGAGAAATAGAAAATCAGCTTTCAAGTTTCCTAAGTGAGACACCTTTTAACCCCTTTCAGAGGGTGACAGATTCCTTTTATGTTCCAAGAAACACATGTAAGTAAATTAGCCACAGGTACTCAAGGCGGGAAGCATCCCAGCAAACATTTTCTGCTGTGCCCACCAAAACTCAGGGCTATGGGTAGGGTGAAGTGTATCTAGGGGAATTCATGAGTTGAGACAGAGAAGAGAAGCTAGAGGGGCTTAGCATTAGTTGAGGGCTTGGGGGCTGGGGAGCAACAGGCTCTTTCGAGGATCAGGTTTGTATCAAGGTGTAAGGAAAGTATCTTGGACAAAAATTCTACTAGCTTGTCCTTTTCTACTTCCACAGGGTAGCCAGCCACTCTCAAATCTTCTGGACTGGCCCTCCAGGTCACTGATTTCATCATGTAGCTTTTGGATCAGACATTGTTTGTCTCTAGTGATCCTAACAGAGCCCACATGGTCTTCTAAAATAGAGGTTCTAGTTTTTGCCTCCCAGTGCTGGAGGATAGCCTCTGAAAACTCAGCTGGTGTGGTGCAGTCGCAACTTTGATTTCAGAGATATCCTTGATATTTCCTTAAAGCAGGATCTGTTCTTTGGATATCTGCTTTCGAATTTTGTATACTTGATCCAGGCCTACTAGGCACTCTTCGAGTGCTGTCATGCTGCCCTGCACAGGGCTGAAAGAGATCCTCTGTTTCTTTGTGATTTGTGGGGAAACCGGGGAGAGAGAGGGGTTAAAAACCAGGTCAATTTGCTACTAGGATGTTAAAGAACAGAACGAACCACCCAGAGACAAAAAAACTGTGACCTTAATATAGTGGATGTCGGTGGATTTTTGTGGGCCTGAGCAGGAACTCCAGATCTAGGCATCCATTTTCCCCAGAAGTCCTGTGTTTTAGTCTAATTCCATGCTTAAGATTTCTTCATTAAGCGATGGGCAAGTAGACATACCAATGTTATTTTTAAATATCCACAATAATTACTTGTAATGTGTGTAGTAACCCTTTGAAAAAAAGGTCTGGCTTAGCAAAATTTGTATTTACTCTACAAAGCTTCTTCAAAAAGATTTACAGCTCACGATGTTAGCGCAGTGATAGTATCACTGCTAAAAAAGGTTATTCACCCCCCCCCCCAAGAAAACACAAAAACAGCAACACGTTAGGAATTGCAGAAAATGCTTTTACAAAGCACCTGGGAATAGGTGTAATATAGTTGGCACTCAACACACAAATCTGTAGAACTGAGTTGCAAATTTCATAAAGTCTGATTATTAACGTTCTAGGCATGCAGATGTTAGGATTTTCTAAAGTTATAAACTGAACTTAGAAAGCAGCAAGATGCAATGAAACAGTCACGTAATACATGATATCTCCTTATCAGAATCTCTTACCCCCATCAAGACTCCTGGAGACACGTTTGCTTGAGGTGCGCTCAAAGTACGGAGCTGGTCTGTCTATAAGGTTGCTAGCCTGCTGTGTCTGTGCTTGAGTACGGCCACTGTAGCGGAACTTGGAACCCAAGGTCAGGAATTTCGCCTTAGGAGGCTGTTCTGGTGATACAAGTCTAAAAAACAAATATGAGATTAAAAGTCATTTCGCTAGTTTTAGTAAATGCTTTAGCGCAGCACTTCGTAACTGCTCATCATACTATGAGTTAATTTGGAAAGGAAAATTGTTTAATGATAAAATTCAAGCTTCAGATAAAAATAGCATATAAGATCGTTAAAAGTTGGTAAAAGTTGGTCTTATCTTGCAAAAAAGTACAAAGAAAATTAAGCTACAAGTATCAAAATAACTGAATTTTATAAATTTTGCAGTGGATTACACTTACTGTTTTAATATTTTTTTTTTTTTTTTGCTTTAATTGCTAATCATGATATTCAGAAATTTGCTATTGGTCTGCCAGATATCACTGAGAATTAGCAAGGTTCTACTGTATTTCAACAATAGAAATTAGTGACACTAACAGCAGTTAATAGCATCTGGCTAAAAGATAAATGCTCTAGAAATTAGAAGATTGGTGTTTTCATTTAAGATACTGATAATTGAAAAAGATTAAAAGTTCTGTTTGAGCAAGGCAGAGGGAAAAAGCCAGTAATGGTCCAGCAACATACAAAAATGATAACATGCTAAATCCTTGGAAAATTACTCAAAGCATCTCAACGGATATAGATCTTACATTATTTGTTTGGTGCCCACAGCTTTAGCATTCAATGCCTATACCAACTTTAAGGTTTCTCATGTTGCAAACTCTGACAGTTCCAGAACTGTGGTCTATGAAGAACTGGCTGGTCATGGGATACCGAGTCTTTGTTTCTAGCTACTTCTTTTTATATCCAGGATCTTTATTGCAAAAGAGAGAGATCTATTACTTGAAGTAGTTGGATGAGGAGCAGCCAGCCTAGTTGTCAATGTTACATATTAGAAGAGAAGAAACAGGAGGTGACCACCAAAAGGACTGGAACTGGTGGCACAGCAAGGAAGGAATGTCCAGAGAAGCAGGGGGATGAGAGAACCAGATGCCTAGGCATAGGCAAAGTATGCGGGACAGACCATAAATGCAACAGGGAATCCAAAAAAGAAAAAACAAAACAAAACCCCAGGGGAGAGGGAGATAAAGAGTAGAAGTATGTTCCTTAATACTTTCTCATGCAAGCAACTGCTTTAGATGCCATATGGCTATTATGCAAGGACTAGTATGAAAAGAAATTTCCTTGTGGACAATCTACTCTGCTAAGCTGTGGTCCACACTGCACTAAGTTTGGGATAACCTGAAATCAGAGAAACAATGCTGTCTCAAAAAATGGAGAGCTAATTCCTGAATACTGCAGCACAGAATCCACATTTATCTACAAAGGTTCTTGCTGCTGCCATTTCCAATCTGGTCCCTTTTACAGACTCCCCTACTGCAGTATTTGAAACCTTTAGAAGTCCTCTGTGAATTTAGATAAAGCATCTGAGCATTCCCTGTAGCTTTTGCAAATTCCTCAGGAAGCATCTGAGTTTAAAATATATTTTTAAGATCTTCCATTGATTGAAGGGATTCCCTCCTCAGGTAAGTAGGCAAAAATGGTGGCCATTTTAATGAAAGGTTAATTTGCACACCCTCCTATTTTAGGATGCTTGTACAGCAGAACTACTAAACATCGTGTCTTCCTTCTTTGACTGTGAGTACAGCCTTATACCACAATCCTGTCTGAATAATTTCTGTAAATTCTCATTGACAATACAGTGTTTCCTAAAGTAAGTCTATTACGGAATGAGGAGAAAGAAGGCAGAGAATACATTCCCAGGGTTGTTACTGTTCTTTGTTTTCAAATGTTGGCAAGGCTACAGCATTAACTTCCATTTTTATCCTCTACCCTGCTGAGATAAACTTTTAATAAGGAAAAAACAAGAGAGCTAATTACTTCCTGATTAAGGGTATTTTAAAGGATATTTTATATTTCAAGCTTAATTACATGTAATAACCGACAAAGTTATGGTTATAGCAGCGCAAGAAGTTCTGGGAAGACACTGAAAAAAATAAAAATTTCAAATACAACATCACAAGTACTATATGCATTAATTTATACATGGGTATACACGCAGTCTTTCTGTATATGATAAGGTTCAAGGCTGAAGACTAAGACCACCTGCGAAGAGCAGAGTAGATACCCAGTTTGACAGCAGCTCTTAAAGTGGATTGTTACTTACTAGAATGTAACTGGAATTCTATACCGTTTGAATTTCCATAAATATTATAAAAGAAAGGCACAGATTGGCCTGTTTTCATATTTAATAGTATATGTACAAAGTTTGGAGAGTCATCTTTTAAACTAAAAGGGATACCATCCAATATACAAAGCTTATGTTAACACACATCTTCAGTTATCTAAAAGGAATTACTAACCTTATGAAAAGAGTTTTCCTTAAACCTGGAAGTTGAATTGTATGTGTGAATTACATGCAAAATTCACTGTCATGTAGAATTCACAGAACACGTGGCACGAGCAGAGAAAAACATTAAAAAATTTTGGGCTGTAACAGTTGTGATCCTGTTTATTTCTGGCATTCAATGAGAGAAAAGAGATCAGGATTTATTTATTTTATTATTTTAAAATCCTGATGGAGAGGTTCTAGGGATTTTCTGCCTGATGACATCAGTGGAAGTACATGATGGTGAGAGTATTTGAAGCTTAGTACTTGTTATAATACCATCCCTGACTAGAAAAATCTATTTCTGGTTGGAATGAAACCCAATTAAATTCTGTTCTATTTCTGTAGAAAGATTTTCTGATAAATATAAAATGTCACTGAAAACATTTACAGTTGTAAATTACCTTTTAAAAATCTAAGCTGATCAGCTACTATAGATGTAGCTCAATCAAGGATTCTTTCCTATTTTGGACTACATACTAATTTAATAATGACAAAATATAAATTATCAAGCAAATTTCAAAGTAACTATTGCAACGGTATGAATCATTTCAAGAACACTGATTTATCCCAGCCACGCAGCAGAATGGCATGTGCTACATATCACTTCTGGTCATAGATTGCACTCACCAAAAGATTATAGATTTTCTTAACTTCATATTCAGTTTGAGAAAATCACATATCAACAGTGCATTTTTATTAATTAGACAACCTTCCATGCCTTATATGCTTGTGAGGTTTATAGTGTCAAATGTAAAATTTTTTGAGACAGGTGTGACGCTCTATGAACTGATTTCAAACAGGAATGCTTTCTAAATTATGTATTTAATGAGTGATTCACAGCTGAAACTTAACAGTGCAAATGGCAAACCAGGATTTTCTTTAAAAAAAAACTAGAGGAGGTATGGCTGAGAGAAGAGAAATTCCAATTTCTACTGCCAATTAATATAATGGGCCCAAAGCCACACAAATATTAGAATCAGAGAAATTTAGACCTGGAAGGGACCTCCATAAGTCATCTACTCCATTCCCCTGCACTGAGACAGGAACACCTAGACAAGTGTTTGTCTAATCTCTTCTTAAAAACCTCCAGTGGGGGAGATTCCACAACTTCCCTAAGTAATTTGTTCCAGTGCTTAACTACACGTATAGTTAAAAGGGTTTTCTTAAGGTCTAACCTAAATTTCCTTTGTTGCAATTTATGCCCATTATTTCTTATCCTGCCCTCAGAGGATAAGGAGAACAATTTATCACTCTTCTTTTTGTACAACCTTCTACATACTTGAATATTATTATGTTCCCCCCTCAGTCTTCTCCAGACTAAACATACCCAGTTTTTTCAATCTTTCCTCATAAGTCATGTTTTCTGACTTTTAATAAATTTTACTGCTCTCCTCTGGACTTTCTCCAATTTGTCCAAGTCTTTCCCAAAGTGTGCTGCCCAGAACTGGACACAATACTCCAGCTGAGGCCTTAACAGCACTGAGTGGAATAATTACATCTTGTGTCTTGCTCACAAACACTCCTGCTAATACATCCCAGAATGATGCTTGCTTTTTTCCACAACAGTATTACCTTGTTGACTCATTTAATTTGCGATCCACTATAACCACATTGTTCCCATTAGAAAATATACATCTGCCACAAAAAGCTGTCTAGCAAGATGGCTCTATTATTTAACTGCTTTTATGTTCACTACAAGGTTTATGAGACTGTATACTGTCAATCTGGAGTAATCTCACATTACCCACTTTCAAATATTCCAAAAGGTAGAAGGAGCTGAAAAATATTAGAGGAACATGTCTGTTCATAGGAGGCTAAACAACAATTGCAATATATCTCAACTAAATTTATTTGTGAGCAGGTTTATTTTCTGAAATACAGCACAGTGAATTGTTGGTGTATATTTTTTCTGAAGAAAGCATTAACAAGGGCAACTTGTTCACTCGTTGTGATAAATACTGCACAAAAATACAAGCTGTCCTTTCCCTTGATAGATTCCGGGGTGCTACAGCGTAAATGCAAGTATACAGTTTAATCATGTACAGCAAGATTTCTGGTTTTCAGGAGAAATCTGACAGTACATTTGAAAATAAATCATTCTTTGAAAGTATGGGAGGGCAAACAAGACATCTCAATACAATTAGCAAGTGCATATATTCCCATAGAAAAGTGGTTATATTCTTAATGTAGTTATAGTTTGTTCCAAGACTAGTTTGAATTGGTCTCCCAGGACATGGGAGACCAATTCAATTCCCCCTTCTGCCTCATGAGGAAAAGGGATTTGAACTTCCGTCTCCTAAATTGCAGGAGAATGGCCTTGCTACTGGGCGATGGGATATTCTGGCATGAGGTTTTCTCATTCTCTACTATTGAACCTGTTCTACTTTTTATAAATAGCATTTGGAGCAGGGCCTTGAACCTGCATCTCTGACATCATAGGCGAGTGCTCTAAGTAGCCAACTATAGAGCCATTTTCACTCTCATTCCCTGCTCTAATGACTAAGAATTGCCATTATGAATGACAATTGATAACCATTGGGCAAGGAAAGAGCGCGAGAATTACTCCATAGCCTGCTCGTTAGAGCACTCACGTAGGATAAGAGAGACCCAAGTTCAGGTCCCTGCTCCAACGATGAGAGCAGTCTTTAGCCAGTACACACTGAAAAGATGGCAGCACATGGTCCCACCTACTACTGCATATAGTGCTCAGTGATAAGAGGACCTGATGCTTAACAAGGCCTCATATCCAAACAGTAGCTGGGTTCTTGCAAGTTTTGGTTTCCTGTTAGGTGTTCAGCTGCTGCACAAACTGAAATCTTAGAGAGCTACACTCTTACTCATGCAGATCTGGATGGTAAATTAGGAATTGAGCTATAAAGTTGAATTTAATTAACCTTTTATGTAAGATATTACAAATTAATAGTCCAGGATCAGTGATCTATGTGTATTTTTCACATGTTTCAATGGGAGCTAGACCTGGATGGAGCTAAAACAAGTGGAGAAAATATAGTCTTCCCCACACACTTTTCTGAGAAAAATAAAAATAGTTTTGACTTTTAGGAGAAGGAGGATAAGACTTCCTGAGTATTTACCTGTAGAAAGTATGGTGCTCCACACAAACCTTCCATAACCTTTTAGCAGCCCGATGGTTTGGCAATTTGAACCCAATGGTGCTTTCAAACTGTTCCAGCTGGAAAGGAGCCACAAAATAAATTAACACATTTCCTGAAAGCTGGCCAGGTTAGCAGAACGAATGAGTTCAGACATTTCCATTACCGTGACAAGCACTAATTCTCCTTTCCTGATGCTCAAAATGTCTCAAATTTTCCATACTTCTAATATAATTGCACCAGGTGGACTACTCATGCAGGGTAATAATCACTTCCTATCTGTATTTACTAATGACTCTTCTTTGGGAAAAGCCAATAGTGCCTTAGTTTTGTCAGCAAGTTTCATGACTAGCTGCCCAGAATTTAAAAAAAAAAAAAACACACTGCAAAAAGCCAATTGTACTGAGAATTGTAGCAGCAGCCATGCACACTTTCTCCCCTTAGTCCACTAAATACTGTACTAGGCAGTGTTCAAGCTACTAAGTTTGTCACAATTTCTAATCCAAAAATGTTATGTAAATGCAAGTACAAGATGTACACGTGAATGGACAATACACCTATGTCTAAGATGAATCACAAGACATGTAAAGAGGGAGAGATATCTTTTTCAAATTAAGATTTCATATTAATCACATCATCTATTGAAATATAGCAATCTCCATTAGCTCTGCTAACAGTTCACAGCATTTAATGAAAAGCTACTTATATTTTTAATTGACTTCAAGTAAGTAAATAAAAGGAACTAGCTAGTTAATAAGGATTCATTAATTAGAATACCACATATAAGTTTTGGGTATGACTGGTCGCCTATGAAGAGGATTCAGAGATACCTTATTCTCAAACAGGTGCGGATATAAATCCCACATTTTAACTCTGTCAGAACACCTGGGGAAGTTTGGAAAACATTATCTTGCTGGTGGGCTGAACTTTAGCTTTCACTCTTGAACAGCAGCAGAAAGGTTGGCCAATATTTTCTAAAAAACATCTCAAGCTGTTTATGAACAGAACTGCAAGAAATGAATAAAAGCCCTACTTACCTCTGCTGGCCTGACTTTTATGTAGAAGTTACTACGTTTATAAGAGATTTTCAAAATTTTGGGCCAAGCAAAACGGTTGATTCGGAGTCTATCCTTGTAAATGAGTAGCCCATTAGCGCATACACCCAGCATGATGTCTACACCTTCAGAATCCTACCGCAAATGAGAATTTTAGACAAAATTTAAATGATGATATTTTATGGAGTTCATTATGTTAATACACTTGGGAGGAGGGATGTCTATTACACTGGTTTCATGCTGAAATTACAGTAATGCCAAATGGGTTTGCAAAGAAAAGGTACACAACAGCAGGAAAAATCTGCATTTATTAATCTTAGAAACAAGGTTGGGACTCCTGCAATGGTTTAGCATTCATCAGTCCAGTCTGCAGTGACAAGACACATCTGTGTTCACATGCTGCAATTTTGGAAAAACATACCAATATTATGGTGAGGGGGAGGCATATAAAAACCTAAATCAGAAATTTATCAGCAGTAGAGATGTGATGGATATTAGCAAACATTTCAGTAAGCATTAAAGGAAGAAGAAAAAATGAAAGGCCTTGTAAACTTTATAGTTTTTATCAAAAATACAGCAGGTTGTTATATCCTATTGTGCAGTTATATATAACTATTACTTCAATTAAGATGGAGAAAAGTGGATATTTGGCTGACAATGTCAGCTTAGCCACTTCAGTCAAGGTGCTGGCAGACAGCATTTTAATCATTTTGGCCCAGTGACAATGTCTGATCTCAGTTTACAGAAGCAAATACTTACTGATAGGACTTGCATGTATTGCAAATCTAAGAAGAGACTTCCCCATGTAATAGCACAACAAATACCAACATGCTCCCAACCAACCGGCAATAATACGAAGTGCTGACATCCAGTTGTCACTAAATTCTAGACTGACTGGCAGAATTCTTAAGGGCTGCAAACTGTTCTCATAAAATAGAGTTCTTGTCAGAGCTTTTACTTGCCATGAGAAATCGCTGTGGAGTAATTGCAAGCATTAGAACCACTGAGAGTGAAAATTCTTAAAGCCATTCAAGACAAGAGTGAGCTGGCATTATGAACTTCTACTAGTGGCAGAAATAAGGTTGCAGATGTATTTACCATACACCTCCAGTAAATACAAGACTACCTACCATCAAATGTTTCCAAGACCAACTGGGAAAGGCCATTAATAAAATTACAAAAGAATTTGACAAGACCCAACTACCTTTCCAAGTTCCACTGAATAAAATAGAAGGTTTCTCTAGTATTTTTACACTATTCAAAAAATTTGGCTTTAGCGTCTCTTTTTAAATATTGGATTATTCATTCTTAATCCATTAAATGAATTTTGCTACTGATTTTCTGAGAACATTGATCTTTTTAAATTGGATTATACTAATTTTTGTTTACTTTTAAAAATTAAAATATCGATAGAAATGGAAGTTAATTTCCAACCATCTAGAGTAAAAATCTGTACTTAATGCCCACTGGTACAAAAAAACACTATAGACATTTTAGGCTCCAATTTGCCTCTCCAAGCCTATCACTGGAATAAACATTTGACATTTAAAACAAACTTAGTTGCTCCTAAGCATAAAGGATATTTTCCCAACCTGTAAGTATGGAGCCACATGGGCTAAATAATCCTTGACTGAAGATAAACTCTCAGAGTCCCCATACCTGTAAACTGAATAATTAACATGACTGCCAGATAGTATAGCAGTTGAAGGGCTTGCATTTAAGTACCCTTAAGCGTACATGTATCTTCAGGTTGAGTGGTCCACGTTTATTGTGCTCTGTAGCGGTAAGTATTTTTCAGAGAAATTAGTTCAATACCTTGGCATGATGTAAATCCACTCCATACATGGAAAGCCTCTTGGCATTTTCTAAGAAATGAGAATCTGCCTGTGCTGGAGTCAAGCCCCTAGAACCATTAAAAGATACCTTCAGTTTACTGTCAAAAATAAATATCAAGATAATAAAACCAAGTGAAAGTAGCTACATTTAGGGTATGTTAAAATATTTCAGATTACAAGAGTCTAAATCTGAGTACTTTTGCACTTCTGTATTTCTCGCCCCAAAATCGTAGGTATGTATATTCTCATTAACGGTATATTATATTTACTTAGTAGCATTTACTACCTTTAGTGTTGCAAAACAGTTTTAATTATAACCTACTCAAACACTGCCCCGCCCCAAACACTTTTTTCACTTCAAAGAACTGGCTTCCATTTTGCCCTCACTTCCTCTCCCCCAAAACACAATCAAGGATATCTTCCATGACTCGCTATAACTCTATCAGTATTTATGAAGTTATGAGATTAACATGATCCAAAGTGACTTTTCAAACAGTCATCTGCTGAGTTTCCCCAGTCCTCTGTGACACTGGAGTAGATGTTCTCCCTAACTGCCCTGACAGAAGGGCTGTGGCTAGCACTGTTTTGTTTTCAATTCTAAAGATCTTAAACAAACAAACAAAAAAGTACCACTCTCCTAAAGACACATTCACTAACTTATCAGGAAAAGAGAAAGTCATGAGCATGACCATCATGGATCTCAGTGCTTTATGGGTTCTACACAATTTTTACTACATTCTGGAATATTCCATATTCTAGTCTTTCATTTAAAAAATATTGACCCTTTTCAGCTGCCAGGACAGATCCATAAACATTTAAAATGCTTTGCTTCCCTGGTAAGCCATCCTTGCAGAAAACTGTGTCCAGGTCAAACAGTACCACTAACAAAGGTAGGAATCTATCCTCCCCCAAGCCTTGCTGATGTATGAATTTCAGAATTTCACTGGTATCCTTTAAAATGCCAAGATCAGTAAATAAGGTATGTTTATTTTATCAAATATCCAACACAGAAAGGTTAACCTTTTCTGACCTAGACTGTAACACTTTGCTATTAACAGTACAGTATCTACAGAGCAATATATGCCAAAATTGTGGCCCATTGAAGACAGTGGTGGTTTTGCTCCCAATATAGCTCAGAATTTCATTCATTATTATTATTATTATTATTTGTATTGTGGTAATGCCTAGTCATGGACAAAGACCCCATTGTGCTAGATCCTGTACAAACTGAACAAAAAGACGGTTCCTGCCCCAAGAAGCTTAGACTCTACTGAAGCTTAGACTTGTTCATGAAGCTTAGACTCTACCTTCATAATATAGCATTTATCTAACAAAAGATGACCTTCCTTCCGTCAGTATGAGGGGAACAAGAATAGTTTTTCCTATTGTCAACAAAACTAAAACAGTGACCATGGTTTATTTAAGGTAAAAAAACGACACTACAAAGAGTGTATAGTTCAGGGCAGTGGGCTCTGACCTTTGGGCAATGCAAAGAAATGTATGATCTATTTTGCTGACTGAAAGCAATTGCCTATGTACTTATATTTTTCAGGTAATGAGACTTTGGGATTTTAATTCTATCTACACATCAGTCATAAAATGGCTCCTCATAATCAGATTACAATGTATTTTTTATGAACCAAAGGTAGCTAGTTTAGAGACTGAATATTTGTGGCCCATTTAAATGAAAAATTTCAGATTCTGAATGTTTTCTTCATATTGTTCAAAACATCTCTGAATGAAATAAATTCAGACTATTGTTCTTATAAAGTAAAAAAGCCTGTATCATGAAATATAGCTTCAAAACTTTCTTAGCTGAAATGTTTATTGCTATTTTTACTGGCTAAAGCAAGAAGCAATCCATAATTGACTTTTTTGATGGAAATCCTACTAAGGAGCTGTAATAAACAGAAGAAAAAAAAGATGACAGGAAAGTCAAACTAAAGACAAGTTCCATTTAAATACATATAAGAAAAATGTTGTAGCTATGTAATTGATGTAAGACTATTATAGTAGTGATAAACTTCTTCAATCTAATACAGTATTATACATATCTTTAAGATCAAGAGAAATGACAGATGTAACCAAGACCATATCAACATATTTTATTCCCACCAGGTCAGACACACCTGTGTGTTTTGTGCAGTTCTACTACTTTGTCCTCCATCTCTTTTGTTTGATTGGGTGCAAATTGGAATTCACTGATGTAATGGTTATTGTGTTCCTCTGAATCATAGTCGCCTAGCTCGGCCTGCAGAGTATATGAACCAAGGAGGGCATGAGTCACAAAAGAACATGGCAGTCGGCCAGAAGCAATATCCTGACGAAGCTGTAGGCACAGGAAATATCTGCAAAAAGAAAAAAAAGTTACTTATGGTAAACAGAAATATTCCTGCAGGATATTTGTGAGAGCACACATGCACAAAGCTGAGTAAAATCTGTCCAAACATAGTGCCAATAGTCTGTTTTAAAAAACCCAATGCACTGATAGACCCAATACACAGAGACAAAGTTCCATTTCTGATAGATCTTGTCAACTAAAAACAAAGGATTTGGAGTTACAGTTTTAATATAAGAATCAATATATCCTTTGTAAATCAGTTGAATTAGAAATATTCTGGTTCCCAGTACAAATGAGCTGTATGTGTCCAGTTTTACATAATAAACTTGCTTACCAACTGTCATGTTCATAGTCAGGCTTGGTACAATCCATTTAAAAATGGATGATCTATTTTCCCTTAAAATCTAGGGTTTGGTTTTAAAACTTCAGTAATATCTAAATTGTTTTGCACCATGTAATCCAGCCAGTCATGCCATACAACATATGCATACTATATCAATAAGCAGTGAACACTTGCATCCCTCAGACAGGTCGTATCCATGTGAGTAATTACATTTATCTTGTACCTTGCAACTCTTATCCATAAAGCCTTGTGCTGTGCATACACAAAGTAATCTTACATGGCATACTAAACAAAAGTAAATTTTATTTTTTACTTGTTTATTTTGAATTCATAGTGAAGTTCAAATTATTGGGGATTTAGAAAATTTCAAAAATAAATCAAGGATAACACTATTTACTTTAACTGAACACAATCTAAAAGCCCAACTTAATTTCCTGAAAATAGTTTTATAGCACGCATGGACACCTAAAGCTAGTTTTAGATTAACTGAACACTAATACAATTAGCTTTTCTACTACATGTAGAATGAGAGACAATTATAGACTGTATATCTAGTTTGTTTTGTATATCATATGTTTGGAGTGGTCATTTTTCTCCCAAATGGGAAAGCTACTAGGTGGTGAGTTACGTAAATAATTTTAAATGAGTACCAATAAATCCTTTATATACCACTGTGTTTGCTACATACTGTATTTAACAAATTCTATTTGATAAATGTTTGACAATTAAAAATAAATTATCTGGACTATTTCCATATCCCCCTCAAAACACTTAAGCAAGTTGCAACATTGAACAGTTAATTGTGGTTTGTAACAGTAAACCAAGATAACACTTGAAGAAAAAAATATTTCCCATTTTCTTTAAACTCTTTCTACTTTTCTCTGTTCTTAGATTCTTCCTCCTTGGTTGTCTGAAAAGCATGTAGCACATGGGTGCTATCATGAAGAAACAATAAAGGATAATAATTCTGTTGTACTATCTTATTTGTGTGTGTGTTACCATCTCTAATACCTATCTATGAAAATGTATTCTCAGCAATTCAGTTTAATATAGAGTTAGCATATAAAGCACCTTAACATCTTTGAGCTCAGTACTCCTATCAACACAAGTTACCCTACTGCTTACATCCCAACATAGTGGCAGCCTCTCAACATCCACTGGCTCCACGCCTCTGACCCTTAAGAGGTTCATTCCCCTTTCTGGTCTCCTTCCTGCTATTCCACTCTATCCCACTTCTATCCTCATCCTCTGGTCTCTTGCTATAATTTTTACTTTTTCCCCTCTTCCTTCTGGACCCCTTCATTAGCACCTCTCACCATTTCAACTAGCTTTCCCCCCTCATCTGGGAGCTTTCCTGGAGGCCTTATCAGATCCACTGAGTCCCAGGTCTCACCCCAGCTCAGGACTGCTCATACTGTGAACTGGAGCAAGAAAAGTTGTGTGGTATCATCATGCAGTCGCCAACTCCCACTCACTCCCTACTGGCTACAAAAAGCAGCAGCATAGCACAGTATAGTCAAACTGTGCTGTAGCAACAGACAGAATATTTAAACTTCCACGCTACACTGGAGGCTGTGCCCAGGATAACTATCCCAGTTTCCTCCCATACCTAGGGCCTCTATGTTCCCTTATTCTATGAGGGAGAGAGTGGGGAGAGAGAAAATCTGCAATGTGAATTCAAAACATAGGAAACAAGTAAGTTGTTGACTTGTAGAGTGTACAATATAAAAAACAGTGATTATCAAGTTTTATATTAAAATATGCATACCTGGTAATGTCTTCAGTCAATTGTGAAGGATCAGGAGGATAAAACTTCACATTAAAGGTGAATAGCCAGGGTAAACCTACAAATGGGAAATGTCTGATTATTACTCCACAGAACTTTAACGAGCAACCAAAAAACAAACAAAAATTTCTTATTGGAAGATTTAAAAAACTTGTGACTAGCATTTCAGCAATTAAGTCAATAAATCAATAGAAGTCAAATTTAAAATGCAAGAAATTTAAGAAATTATATGGTAAATAGAGGGAAAGTTAACAGAAGAGCGGGTTCTCTTCAATGCCAGATAGTTACACTTGTAAACTGAAAGATCAGACCAACAGCTTAAGATAATTTATTTACATTTCTGAAGAATTTGTTACAATGTTTTTCTTATCATAATTTATGAAAACATCTACAAAAGTATTTAGAGTTTTGAATTCTCAGGCAACCATGATAATTTGATTTAGCAGCTTTAAAGGTATCTTTTGTTCAAACAAGCATTTTAGAGGGTTTCAACTCTGAGCAACTTTTTTTTTTTCTTCTGCATTGATTGTGAACTAATATAACCAATGTTTTCCAGCTTCTTCCAGGGCAAGTCTCTCTCCCCTGTTGAGATAAGCTCATAAAACAACAAATTCCTTTTAATTTGGGAGACTGTAGAATCACTCATGGGGAAGAAAATCTGAAAGAACTAAGGTTTGTGATGCATACACTAAAGCATGAAGTAGAAATAGTGAAGTTGTAAAGCACTTTATTTTCTAGCAAATACTGTAGCCAAAAAAATGGCTGTTCTCATTAAATATATAAAACCACATACACATTACAGTTTCTCCTGTATTAGAATCATAGACATGCAAGACTGGAAGGGCTCTCAAAAGGTCATCACGTCTAACCCCTTGCGCTGAAGCAGGACCAAAGTAAACCTAGACCATCCCTGGAAGGTGTTTCTCCAACCTCTTCTGAAAAACCTCCAATTATGGGGATTTCACAAGCTCCCCTAGAACCCTATTCCAATGCTTAACTACCCTTGTAGTCAGAAAGCTAATATCCCACCTAAATCTCCCTTGCTGCAGATGAAGCCCGTTACTTCTTACCCTGCCATCAGTGGACATTGTTGGGATATTAAAAGCAACTATCAAGACCCTAAAATAGAGACACCACTCAAAACGCATTCACAGGAAAATTTCTCACAAATAAAACTGGACTTTGAGCGAAAAAACTCATGTTTAAAGAAGGTGGGAAATGTTGACATTAAAGAATCATGTTTCCCATAACTCTCCCTCATATACTGACTTATAACATTGAAATATAAAATGAGTAATTGTAAATAGTCAGATTAAGCACTTTGATAGCTATAGTTTTAATGATTTATAACTATGTACAGTGAATGAGTACAGATAAAACACAACACTTAGGCCAAGTCATTGCTGGCGTAAATGTGGTTTTGCCAATTCTCCTTTTTCACAGAATTGCTAATTTGCTTAAAATGTTATTGCTATCAAAACAAAGGTAACATATCATGTTGGAAGACGTAAGTGGACATTGATGTCCCTCCTTCTTCTTTAAACTTTGATCCAGGAATTTATTAAGTTTTTAAATGTTCTTGTTTTTAACTTGTACAGAATTTTTTAAAGTGTTTTCATTACTCAATAAAACAATATTGTTTGGAAAATAATTACTAGTTCCCAGCATATGCTGCCAAATGCCTAGCGGTACTGAAAGCACCCACTTAGTTGTTATTGAACACTGTGACACAACTCATAGGATTGTGACAAATAGTGTCAATCATAAAGCAAGCACCACAAAATGAACAGACACACTGTCAGTGTTCTATTCATAAATTTGCACCAAGCACCACACAGTTCCTAGTAGGCCCCCAAACTGCAGGGCCAGGTAGAGCATAGCACACCACAACACGTTACTATGGCTCACTGTTAAAATGCTCTTTCAAAGCCTTCCTGAGCCATACAGCTCCTGGCTGAGCTCTTCTGATAACCCTTGTATCTGGCTGTTCAAACTCAGCAGACAGACGTTCCACCTTTACCCTCCACCCAGAGACAACTTTTCTCCCTTTGCTTCACAGATACTACGCAGGACACTGCAGGCAGCTATAATCACTGGGATATTTTTCTCAGTGAGATCCAGTCTTGTGAGTAAACGTCACCACCCCTTCAAACGACTAAAAGCACATTCAACTGCCACTCTGCACCTGTTGAACCAGTAGTGTTGAATCGTTCCTTGGTGCTGTTGAGGTCGCCAATGTACAGCTTCATGAGCTGTAGAGTAAGGGGTAGGCCAGGTTTCCCAGGATCACTACTGGCATTTTGGCATTGCCAACGATAAATCCGGTAAGTCAGGAAAGAAAGTCCCTACTTGCAGCTTTTTGAACAGTCCTGTGTTCTTAAAGATGTTAGTGTCAGGCACCTTCCCAATACTGATGTCAGTGAAGTATCCCCAATGATCCACCAGCACTTGCATAAGCATAGAAAAATAGTCCTTTCTGCTGATGTATTCTGGGGCAAGGTGGTCTGGTGCCAAAATAGGGGGGGGGGGGGTGCTGTTTATCACTTCACCGCAGTTCACGAATCCGATCATTGCAAATCCATCCATTATATCCTGCAAGTTGCACAGAGCCACAGTCCTGTGTAGCAGGAAACGATTAAGGGCCCTGCACATTTGCATGACAATGGCCTGCATACTGGATTTTTCCAACTCTAGAATGATTTCCCACTGACCAGTAGCAATTTGTCTTTGCAAATTTCCACAGTATGATTGATACTCACTTCTCCGCTGTCAGTGAAGCTCTCACTCTAGTGTCCAGATGCTGGAGGGCTGGGGCAAGCTCAGTGCACAGTTCCAGGAATGTGGTCTTGCACATCCAAAAGTTCTGTAGAACTTGTCATCTCAACCCTGCATTACAGCGTGATCTCATCAGTCAGTCCTCATTTCTCATGCCCAAAAGCAGCACTCCACCATTTGCAAGCACTCTGTGAATCACCAACAATCAGGAATGCTGGGACAATTGGTATAGTGGGGGTACTAAGAGCCATTGAACCAAACTGTAAACCCTGTACATAATGGAAAGCACTTCAAGCCAAGGGGTGTGGCACCCCCAGTACCTATGCCAACAATTGGTTCTCGCTATGTCCTACAGCGATTTGCCCTCCAGGTGTATACATCTTCAGTACACATGCTGAATTACCACAATTTAGACTATTATTACAGCCACAAACAAAATTCAGTAAAGCTGTCTGAAACTGACAAATTAACAATTTTGCACTGGTTACAGTATGAATTACTGGCTGCCTTATATTTTAAATGGTAATGGGAAACTCTTTCTCCTTTGAACATAAACTAAATGTATTAAACTGCTTGTGTACAGCCTGTTTCTGTACTTCTGACTTAGTCTACGGGTATAGCTCATGTGACAAAAGCATACAAAAACTTGATTGTCTGTATAAAACTTTATACTGTGATACTGACATTACAAACTGCTGGGCAAGGTAAAAAATGTTGATATTTAAATGATATTTAGAATTTTGTCTGTACTAGTGCTCTCTGTTTATTGGTGCTTAATAATATGGCCTACTGAAATGTCAAGAATTTGTCTAGCCAACTTGCTACCTCAAAAATGCTTCAGAAGCAACATTAGACACATTCTTCAAGGAAAAGAATGTAATAACCAACAGTGCACAATTAACAATTCATCCCATCTATACTGGAGAATCAGTGTTTTATCCCAATAAAGGCATTCTTGTATCTTTTACTGGTGGTGAATATGCTATTTTTATGGCTCAACAAATAGTTCTGTGGTAGTGTGGCAAGAACAAATAAATTAATTGCACACAGTCAACTGTAAAAAAATTAAGGGAATTATTTTCCCTCTGCAGTGTATTGCACCTGAAATTAAACTAGGAATTCAAGATAATCTATGATCAGTCCTCCTTCTGAAAACCCTCCACGTACTTTGTCCAGTCCATGTCATGGACCCTGTCTCTTCCCCGCACCTCAGTCTCTCTATTCACAGTCTCAACAGATGATGAAAAAAGCAACTCTTCAGCAACTTCTCCTGTCTTTAGATTAACCTTATCTGTCACTCCATCTGAATTAATCTCTCAAATGCAGAGGTTTTCCATTGTCTATACCTCTTAAAATCTTCTTTTCCTTTTCACACCAATTCATTTCAACTCCATTTAACATTACAAAGCCTTTGAGATAAAGTTTATAGGAAAGAGGTTATATAAAGCAAAATTTCTTTGTATACAACTTGATGCACAGGCCCTTAGCCATACAGTTCTCATGAAATGAAAATCAGCTACAGACGAGTTTAAATTGAAACATTTATATACCAGCAACACTAAGTAATATAAAGTCTTGCAAAAAAAACTCATGGACTACATATTATACTAGCGTTACTTAAGATTTTATTTGTGAAGTAAACATCATTTGATCTGATGTTTGATTTGATTTGGAAGTTCACCTAATTAATCATGGCATTACCCTTTCTTATCCATCATCATTTCTGAGCAGCAAGGAGATTAGCCTACATTACAGTATGCCTACTAACACTATTGTAATTCACCCTTACAGAACCAAGGTAGAATTTTTCCATACTCAAACTGCACTTACAAATGAATACATTCATTTTCAGTTCCCAGCCAGTCAATCTTATCCCCCAACCCTTCACGCCACAAAAGAAAGGAGTCCTGCCCATCTCCATAGTCTTCACCCCTTTTACAATTCTGAACTTGTATCTAGTTGCTGGGTGTATATGTAAATCATGTCCCAATACTACCAAGGGACCAAAGTTCTGGGGACCCTGAAAAGGCCAAGTCAGATTTCAAAGGCTGCCACCCACTCTTGCCTCTTATTGGCCAGTGGAGTTTTGGCAGAGGGGAAGGAAGAGAAAAACAGCAGGGCAAAAGGAAAGTTTCCAAATTTCCTCCTGTGCTGCAGGAAATTCCTGTGACTGCCATGGAAGAGGGCAAGGGGTGGCGGAGGGAAGGGAACTATCTGGCTGCTGAAGCCACTCACATATGTATTTGTCCGCTTGTTACCACCCTCTACTCTCAGCTCTCTAGA